TTGGAAAAGCGATCTGTATACCTAACCAGGACTACTTGCTTGGCAGGGCGGTCTGTATTTGTATCAATAATAATAACAAACTAGTGAAGTGGAAAATACTAAGGCAATGAAAACATTGTGATATTCATTACAAACTTCTTTTTCATAATTTCAAGTGAAGGAACGAACAAGTCGTGCACCTGGTGATAAGCTACACGGCTGTCCATAACAATCGCATTGCCACTCAGAGCTTTAAATCGCAAAGATCTGAGGGGCACTGCCACTACGCCCGTCACTCTGAGACGTAAGTTGACAAGTCAAACAAGTACCCCTCAAAACCGGAACACAGTAATGCTGACATTACTGCTTGGCGGCAGAAATAGGTAAGGTGGCAGTATTTCCCTGGACGAACTCTTTCACAAGGAGCTCTACTGCTAATACAATATAGCTGTAAAGATTTTTTTAAGGATATAATAAAAGCCCTCTCTAACGAAGTATTTCATCATACTTAAATATCGTTCACAAAGATAGTCATTAAAGAAAACATTTCGCAATATTTCACAACAATATTAGTAACCATAACACATGCAAGTTACCCAATCGCAAAGTTAGAAAATTACATCCTCCTTTACTCCACAATCCATCTTCGTAAATGTAACTTAAGCATCTCGTTACATTTGTTACATTAACCCAGTTTCACGTAACACGTTGTTACGTGTAACAAAACAAATGCATCGATAGACCAATTGGCTTCACTTTTGGCCTATTAAGTTTTGCATGAGCCGATGTTGATTTGTTTAAATTCATATCTCGAAAGAGTACTTTCGAATGATTCTATTAGCTTGTGAATTCAAATTCAATTCTTATTTTTATCGTATCGATGGCAGACACTGTACTTAGTGCTTTTGCCATTCGGAGAAGTATACTCACCGATTGTTACCCAGGTGCGCCAAACGTATAGTGTGGATGTCAGGTGGTCTAAGAGGGAATATAAGTAGGGACGATTCGATACAAGTAAATACGAGTAAGTACTCGATACTTTTGTTTCGATACCGATTAGTTTTAGTATAGAATCCCTTTTTTCGATTGTTACTGGGTATCCGAAAGAAAATACTATCGGTATCGAATCGAAAGTCGCACGCGTAAATGTTTAACCTTAATCACACTTCCCAGGAATAGATCACCTTTTTTCCAAATTATGTTTCCTATCCATTTTCACCGTTTTGCAACAAGTAAACACAAACCGCGAAGTACTAAAGTAAAAAAGTCTATCTAAGTCCCTTTAGATCATTTTTGGATGAATGGGTACATACATTACGTACATCTCAGCGAACAAGCGAATGTCACAAAGTGAAATGGCGGGTATTATGTAGTTTTGTGGGTTTTTGTATTACAGTTTTTATATAAATTAATGTTTTAATAACTAAGTATTATTACGACAAATTCGCAGCAACAATCAATGATCAAAATCTCGATCGATTGGCGGAATTATCGATTGTATCGATTTAGCTATAATACTTTAAACAAGGAAAAGAAAGTTTATTACTTTTTCTTGTTATTATGGCGCCGCCAAAATCTAAAGTATGGACATATTTTATATCTCCTAAAAAAGTATGGATATGAATAAGTATACATACTTTTGAAGTACTCATTTGATTAGTATCGCATGACGAATTGATTACTACTCATTTGAGTAGGTATTGATACTATGGTGGCATCCTAACACCCCTAATCATAAGTACTATTTAGGTACATATTTCGAGTCAAATTAGCCGTTATCAACTTCATGCAGTCGAGGTCTCGGATAACGACTTCAAGCATTAATTGCATGCAATCGAAACCGACTGCATGCAGCCGAGATCGATTGCATGCAATTAATACGTGAAGTCGTTATCAACTTCATGCAACCGCATGCTTTATTACGACTACACGCATTAAGTGCAAACATGCATTCAATCTGTTAGTAGCCCAAAAGAACTTATAATAATAAATTTATTACAATAATAATAAATTGTGTACCTTAGAGGATATAATCTAAATAGAAGTAGTGTATTTAATCATAACAATATTGACCTCAGTGGCTCTATTGAGCTGCGAGCACTTTGTCCAGTGCTTAGCTCCAGACAGGATTCCGGTTAGACCAATTTAGGAAATGAACTTTTCTAAATTAGTTCTTGCTCCGTTATTACGTAATACAGGGATATCAGATCTTGTTATTCAAGTCTGACACACTATTATTCATATTATTGCTATGAAAACACATATAATTAAATGTCGGACGGTTATAAATACCACCTGCTAAGTTATGGGGTGTATTTTTCTTTGGGTACCTAACTAAAGCACATTTCGCACTGTGTCCTCGTGGGAACTACAGAACTAGCCCTCTTATTGTGCCTATGCCCAACAGTGGGACTGTGTATTGACTAACTATTATTTGTTTTATGAAGTACGGTAACGGGAAATTTTATTTACACACCTAAGATTTTAATTTGAAAAAAAAAGTTTATTGTCTAATAATAAAACATAATAAAAAAATTAGGTTATACCCCGTTCAAATGCAAACTTGTGAAAATATCACGAAGTCTATTGTATATAAATATGGGTTTATTGAATGGAAAGCGTGATAAATTGCTTATTAAACGAAAGAACGGTTGAGAAAGTCTTAGTGATGATTTATCAAGAATAATTCGTTTTTTTTTCTAAGTCAACAACGCGTTTCGAATCTCTTGATAATCTCTGCATTGTGATTATCGGCGAACCGATAGTGTAACAAAGCTTATATTTCGTCATTAATTTTAAATACGTTCTTGTTAACTATGCTTTATCAAGCAATGACAAAATTTTGTGGCGTAAAATGGACCGGTCAGGTTTTTTCTTTTATGATTTGTTTTGAAGTGACTGGACGAATAAATCGTGCGCCTGCTATTAAGCGACACGCCTGTCCATAGCAGTTGCAGTGCTACTCAAAGTATCGTATCTCCCGGTATTCTCTATATTCCTTAACGACATCATCCAAGGAATGTAGCGGTCACGTGACCTTTATACTCAAGCCAAGCGACATGTCGCAAACTGAAGGCAAACGCCCGGACGGAATGACACTTATCCCTTGGAGTATGGGCCGGGCACTGGTGTGGAATGCCACGTGCGCCGACACACTTGCCCCATCCCATCTTCAGCACACCAACAAGAGGGCTGATTCCGCAGCTGAGCTGGCGGAAAGAATAAAGACTAATAAGTATCAAGACACTCGGCTCCGACTACCTATTTCAACCCTTTGGAGTCGAAACTTTTGGCCCGTGGAGTCCCGGTGCCCTTCATCTGTACAAAATTTTATCCAAAAAATTAATAAACTGACTAGGAAACCAGGCAGCTACCTCGCCCAATGTATTAGCATAGCAATGCAAAGGGGAACGCTGCCAGCTTCTTGGGCACCTTGCCGTGGAGATTCAATTTTATTCATATAATTTAATTCTAGTTTTTGTTTCCAGTCTTCTTCTGTATTATTGTACCAATTTATTTTAACTTATTATCTAATGAAAAGAGTACTTAGACGTTTATATACATATAATTAAAAATGGACATAATAGTTCGGTTTAGGAGCATAATTGTAATTGTTATAATTTAACATGAGGACAATATGAATAGTTAATTAGTTAAATTTTTATTGTAATAATGAATTTCGTAACCGATTGTATAGCAGCAATTTTTTTAACAATGGATGTTAAGCTTTTTTGGCGCTTATAATATTTTTGCTATTTGTACCTAAATATTTTTTAGGCTTCAAGGCGTTTAAGGTAACAAAAATGACAGAAATGCATCATATTTTTTTCCACTTTGTATATAATAAATGACGAAATTGTTATATACCAGTATATCGGTTGCGATAGCAAGTAAGCTTGCTTACGTTATGATTCTTATATTGATTCTGTCGGTTAAATTAAAATATATAAAAAAGCAGTTGTGCTAACCATAAACTTAGCTTTTGCTATAATTTCTATTTTAATATTATAATAATATTTAATATTAAATAATTTTGGCGGGAAATGTCGACGCGTCCTTATCCGTTATAGCTTAAAACATCATTTGCAATAAAAAACTCTGTTTAGATAACAATGCCGCTTAGAATAAGTCGGCGGTCATGACTCGATATTATTATTTTTTTATTTTGGCTGACTGATATAATTAAGTCAGCAACCAATTATGTCTCGTTGTATACAGTCGGTGTGGACTGCATGTTGTTGTATGCGTCGACTTCACGCACGCAGTCTTTCTAGTCTCCAGGGGGAGGTTTTATCCACACATTATTACCTTAATTTAAGATAGATATACTCTATTTTGATAAGGCTAGGCTCAAAATTAAAACGTGACGAATGACTGTCTGGTGTTACCCTATACATTTTTAAAGTCATGTTTAAATAGCACAATGCCAATCAGTGCAAATTACAATTTATAAATAACGATGTCGTGTTGCGCATAAGATGCAATAGCTAATTTGATTAATTAGTACATATGTGCCTTTATAATTTGCAACGAGACTCTGCATACAGAATGCAGTTTGTATATGGCAATGTTTTTGGTTATATAATCTAAAACATAGTTTACCAATGTAGCCCCTACCCAGTGGGCACTGAAAAGTACTAGGGGAGCAGTGATCCTTACTATGCCTTCGGACGCAATTAGAGGACGTTGATGCTGTCCAAGTATTTTACGTAGGTACATAAATAATTAATACACCCTCTAAAATATGTATTTATTATTGTATAATAACCGACTAAGACATTATAATTCCCTAAAACGTACGTTCCATGCTATAATTTACCTGCTTTTCTTTTTTGCCTCAAGCAATCTCATAGGTAAGAACGTCAGTATAACAAATACAAAAAAATCTTTCTAAAAGAGTTCGTAAATGCTCCACTACTATTCCGTGTCATGAGCTTGGGAATGTTCCTGTATGACCCACGAGAACAAATTGTGCCGCTATTACACGCTTAACTCAGTACTTCGTGGCAGTCCGGGGGCGAACCTACGTCCAAACAATACGTGATCTTCAAAATACTCGTATAAAAAAATAAAACGAAACTTTTTCTCTTATTTCATAAAAAGGAAACGTTATCTGTGGCTTAGTGAATTTGAAACATGGAACGCGTTGTTTACAAATAATTCTTATCGCCTTTTGTTTTTCAGTTATCTACAATAAATTGTGTTACAATTATTTCTACATTGGGAAATGTGTGCGTCTATGAAATTTCAACTGTGTCCAATGCGTTTTAAAGTCTATTTTGATTAGAAGAGATATCCATCTGCCTGTATCATAGTAAGTATTAAATTAAACGTTTAAGTATGAGTTTTCATCTTTTCTTTCCCTCTTTCAAAAATTTCTATCTTTGTTGTAGAAATATAATAAAACTGTTATGTTTATTTGTTAAGGTGAAAAATACATGACAAAACCAAGAAACCACCTCGAGACAAGCGGTTACTTGAGCCAATTTACTTCCAAAGAACACCCATTATTAGATGACCTGTCCGATTTCTTTTAAACTGAGTCTTAAATGTGGGCGATTTGTAACAAAATAGAAGGACGCGAGAGGCCAATTTATATTGGACGTTAACCGGCCTACACTTTGATTCCATACTTCCGCTCCCTACCCTATGCAAATATATTTTTTTTGTATTTTGAATCCTATTGCAATACAGTAAGATAAAGTTTCAAATACCACAGTTTGTATAGCAACGTATGTTTTTTAAAAAAATTCATTGTTCAGAAAGATTATGATGAGTAATCTCTTTTAAATTAAATAACAAAAGTCGATGGATGTTTTCGGTAGGTACACACATAACAAAATGTGATGGACAGCAAAGTTTCGAATAACTTGTGTATGTAATTATAAGCTATGAAATTTATAAGTATTTAACAATGCAGCAAATAAATTTTACTTTTATGCGAATAAACTAATATAAAAAAACGATCTTTTTAACGAATTTAAATTTAAATTAATTAATTCGATTATTGATTGATGTAAAATACATCCACGCTAGTCCAAATTAAACTAAAGATAACATACAATAATAATAAAACTAATCTTTAGTCATTGGAAGAGGCGAGCGTCTAAACTAAATAATAATAATTCAGAAATGCAGAGAACTGTTCTACTCGATACGACATGTATTGCTCGCGCGTTCTTTCACTGGAATGACCTTTTTTTTTTTTTTTTGACCCCAGACGACTGTGTCATTGACGAAGAATACTCTTCCATTTAAAAATTCAAAATCAACCCTTTAGGCCATGGGAGTGGCGAGAGTCTAAAATAGATAATAATAATAATAAAATGTCACAGCTACACCAATACCTGATCTGGAACTAGGCATTTCCGTGTACTTACAACACTCACACCGAAACCAATTTAGAAAAATTCGTTTAAAATTGATCCTACCGCAACCTCCTCATTAGCGATGCGCGATTTTGAATGTTACTAATAGTAATCATTCAAATGGGCAAATTATTCGCTTAAGTCGAATCCAAGTAAAATCATTCGTCTCAAGTCGAATGATTGCCGATACCGAACGCCCCTACCATTTAGTCGGGTACACGAGTCTAATGATGATTATGTCGAAACTACTCGGAACTCCACCAGTAGGGCTAGTACGACAGGGCGCGACTAGCGCGTGAGCGACATAAAGCGCGAGATACTGCTAAACTTGCACAGAGATCTAATGCCCTACAGATCATTCACTATGTCCATATCAAAATATCCCTGTTCCCGTCAAATTTACGGTATTTCGTATCAGAGACGGTTAGACAGAAATGCTCTATGAAGTCTATGGATTCATAATACTAATTATTAATGAATGATCATTCATGTCATTCGAATACGGAAATTAGTAGGTTATTAATTTATCATTCGAATAACAGTATTAGTAATTACTAACGAGTCGAATATCGAAATCATTCTCCTCATCATCACCAAGCGTTTCTTGGACATTTTTCAATTGGAGGAAACCTAATAAACCAAGTAATAAAGTTTATTAATTACGATTATGATTTATGATACTTATCAAGTGACGTCAAGAAAGAAATTGTATTGATATGAAATAATATTAACATTAGAACTAAGTCCAAATTCATAGTACCACAATTTCGTTTAACTAAGGTAAACGACTCGTTTATGAGGAACTGTATACGTTTTTACAATAAGATTCCGGAGCATATACTAAAATTATCCTTTCCTAAGTTTAAACCTACATTACCAATATTTTTACTTGAAGACTACGTGTTAGATAAAGATGTATGAAAAGACGACATGGCTCTAGATTCCACAGATATTTGAGTCAAAGTGTATTCCATAGCATTTAAGTTTATTTGAAAAGAGCAGTCCCTAGAGTTTCTTGCTCGTTCTTCTCAGGGAAGACAGCATAGTGAACGAGCAGTAGCTTAAAAGTGACGTTTTGTGTAAATTTATTTTACCTATGGAATAAATGATTATTTGACATTGACTTTAACTTTGACGTGAAGAATAGATCGTGATTGGTGATAAGCGACTCACTTGCCCATAACAATTACACTGCCACTCATAGTTTTAAGGATCTGGGAGTCACTGCCACTGCACTCGTCATCCTGAGACACATCTTCAAATTTTACGCCTGTAGAAGCACTGCAGAGGTGCGACTCTGGCTAAGCAACCGCGTTTGTAATGCTTCGGTAATTTTTAGTTCACTAATTGTGACTGCAAAAGTGGCGCATGACACGACAGTGGCGCCACTGCAGCGCTTCCATAATCGTTTATTTTAAAGGCGCCCATAAAGTTCCCTTCAAAACCGAGACTCAACAATGCTCACATTACTGCCAGGCGACAGAAGCAAACTCCCATTCTAAGTCCGACGTCTGTCCAAAACAATTGCTATTAAATAAGTAATACCACATTAAAAAGCGCATGATTCGAATGAATCTTCATACTTGTAATTATTTTTTAACTTGGTCGAGTATTATATTTGACAGTAATTGTTTGGGACGGATGTCGGACATAGAACGGAAGTAAACCCCGAAGTAAAAGTGAACTCTTTTACAACGAGCTAATAGCTAGATACTAGCTTATTCTACTAAAATTCAGAGCGCACATTATTTAGAGATACGTAATGTGAAAACGATATGAAAGAGAAATTATAAAATTCCAGATAAATGAAATCAACGAAGCGAAATGGGGACGCTGTGGCAAAGAGGCGGAATAAACACAATCATGTTGTTATTTTTCTATCGACTAGCTGATGTTCAATCGAGTCTGCCGGTTGATTTAGCTCCTGAAGACAAAGGTGAAATATAATTGATTATTTCGCACCCTTTGTGTAATGAAGCCACGTCTGCAAAATGACAACTCTTCAGGAGAAAAGTTTAAAGATTCTACCAACCAAATTAATAAATAAATAACAATTTATGCTCAATAGTAGAGCTATGAAATTTCACATAATATACAGTGTTATACATATGTAAAATACTAACAACCTCGCAGGACTATATTACTAACATCATAAAAACAACTTTTGTTCCATAACTTTTGGAGCCTATGCACACTGCGTATTATATACGCGCCGTAACCACGCGTCATCTGCGCGTATACGATCCGCAGACGCGCTGTAGCCGCGTATGTATCGCGCATTTTAATAAGAGATAGTTTTAATTTTAGTTCTGTTTGTTAATTTCAGGTAGTTTTGAAATAAAGCAACTCCATGAAATTCTAAGAGTAGTATAGAAGTTTCTTGCTCGCAATGCGATGTTTGCCCACGTTCGATTCGATTCACTACAGCGCGTCTGCGGCGCGTGTACGTATGACGCGTAGGGCATGCAACAGCTGAGTGATTTTGAAACCGGTTTTTTCGGTTATGAAGTCTCGGTTAACCGGTTACCCGGTTTTTTCAGATATTTTTCTATTGTCACCCAGACAATTGTTTAAAAGCGTCAGAAAACTAAAAAAACATCAAGGTTGCGTTTACCCTCGAGACACTAAAGCCACCCGTGAAAGGCTGCCCCGCCACCCAACGAAAAATCCCGGAATGCTCCACCTTGCCGGTTGGCGACCGGAGGGGAGGACCAGGTGGCCATCTCCGAGGGGGTTCGGGCGTCCCCGTGGTCTCTAAAATTGACACGGTTTACGGCGCCGTAAACGCGTATTCCTTAAACGCCTTGTTTAAAATACGCCGTGCGCATAGGCTCTTAATAATTAATCAGATGTTACTTTCATACAAAAATAAAAATGTTTCAATATATATATACATATATATAATATATATCGCTCTAAACTAAAAATGCGGAGTCATCGGACATGACGTTACAGCTTACGTTTACTACCAAATACAGTTAATATAATACAAAACTACCAAATATAATTAATGATTCATGGCAAAATACGAGGAAAGAGAGGAGTAGGAAGAAGGACAATGTCCTAGCTCAGAAATTTGCGCCACTGGTTCAATAGGAGCACCCGATCATTATTCAGAGTTGCAGTGTCCAAAGTTCTAATTGCCATCATGATAGCCGACCTTCATTAGAAGATGGCTCATGAAGAAGAGGATCAAATACAGATCTAAAAAGTGTCAGATAGTACAATAAAAACGTAAAAATTTATTTTTGACACATTTATTTTGTTTTGTAAAAGTCATGGAACAAATGTTGTTGTGTATGGTGTTAGTAATACAATCCTGGGAGGTTGTTAGTATTTTAACAAATCACCCTGTATTATAGTTCCGAAATTTCACATATGCATAATTTGTCTCATGTAGTTCGTATTATTTTTATGACTGTCATGTGATAAAAACATTTTTGACATTATTCGTATATTCGTATATATTACGTATCACATGTGGCTTTATTACACCCAAGGTTTGATTTTATTAATAATAATAATAACGCATATACTTAACATAGCCCCGCACTAGGGAAATCCTGTGTCGCGGGTGCCATGGATACACACATAGAGAATCACAAATTACACCCAAACGCAGGAGAGAATTAAATGTAGGCTATACAAATATTTTTCCCGGCCCGGGAATCGAACCTGTGACCACTGCTTTCCGGCGTGGTAGCCGTTCGGCCACGCAGGCAGTTAATTATTATAGTCCTTTAATACTAATAATAAAATAAATAACGCTCACACTCCTAGCCCCGCACTTGGGAAGCCCTATATCGCGGGTACAATGGACACACATAGACAACCACAAATTAATTGCATCCAAGCTCACGAAATATTTTTTTTTATTTATTGACTCAATTTCAAGAAAAGTTTTACAAAAATCGGCTGTTGTTTATCGCTAGGCAAAAACTTAGTGGTTTAACCAGCTAAATGTAGACCTAAACTTAGGCCATACAAATATTTCTTCCGGAACAGGAATTGAACCCCGGATCTCTGTGTGGCAGAACAGCATGGTAGCCGTTCGACTACGGAGACAGTTTAATTGTATATATATTTAATAATAATCAAGTCAGTTTCCGGATGCATTTAAAACTGATTCCGTGTTTGGTAGTCTAATATTCTATCCTATTACTGTAATCAAGATTTATTTCAGCCATCATGGCCCTGAGAATGTGAAGAATATAATGTACATAGCTTTAAAGTTACTTATGAAGGAAAATTACACCATGACGTAATTATGAATTAAACATTTTCTTAATTCTAGCTTGCACGTAAAGCAAGATGGTTATCCGTTCCAGGAGAGCACTAATTGCATATTTTAACCCAGCTGCCATTAATAAAGGTTTCTTTGAACCTAAAAGAGTCACCACTTAATACCTGTGTCACGCATTTAGTCCAGAAAAGGGTCACGCGAATCACAAATTCGTGACTCAAGTTTGTACGTACCTTAAAAACTGCTTCCTAGATACAGTATTAAGATTTTTATAAGATGGCCCTTTCAATTTTTACTGTAAGAGTGCACTTCACTTTCATTAAAAGTAACTCGACGATAAATGATAGCTCTACTGTAAATCATAATAATAATATATGTATGTATATATGGGTAGCGACCCATGTAATTTAATCAAAACATACACCTAGTTTAGTTTGTTGAACCTCATGTGAATGAATGTGTATGTCGGAAACGCATGCTCATGATGAGCATGGACAAAAACCTGCTGGTTACATAGTGTATCATGCGCTCCCTCTGCCGGTGGACCTCGACGGAGTCTGAGGAACAGTGGTGGTAGACGAGAGAGGACACCGTGGTGGTTGGATTCTCCGCCTGCACATACGCTGCCTCTAAACTGGCCTACGTTTCACCTAGTGCCTAATTTGATCGTTAAAATTAATAGAAAGTACAAGTTGTTATTCGATTTCAAAGATTTATATATTTAAAGGTTTATATATATGATTAAAATATACAGTGTTACGTAAACGTAATCTCATAGCACGATTCCTAAATCTGCCCACACGATGTCTGAAGATTCAATTGTACACCCTGACGATTCCGACATATATAATACATATATACACTTCAGTATGTTTATAATGAATGTAATGTTGCGTAATGTTTGTCTGGACACAGTGAAACTATACTTATTTTGTTACATGCCAACTTCTATACAGCCTGAATTATGAGTTAATTTTTTTCCCTTACACAGACTTGCGTATTTAATTCCAGTTCAACCACCTACAACGCTTTCCCTAACATCAACATCATTAGCATCATCAAAAGCAACTACAGTCAACATATCGACTTACACGTATGCCACAGCAATACCACCTATACCTCCCAGCGATAGAGATCGGTTTCTGACCTTTGCTGAAACGGGACATCACACGACTTTCATGTTTGCAAAGAATAATACTTTCATACAACTTGATGGAGATGTTATACAAAGATTCCAGTTGAGGTAAGTTCATATTTTTTTTTAAAAGCTACGATGTATTCGCATGACGAATGTAAGTATCTTATACTGCCTAAAAAAAAGATGTCTTATTAATACAATGATCGAACACTTACTTACACACGAAAAATTCCTTCAATCCGGCCGGATTCGAACCGACGTCCTCTAGCAAACTATGCCAGACGCTATGACAACTAAGCCACGGAACGAACCAGCGTACCTCACGAATTTTTCTATGTACCTACTTGTTGTCGGAACTTTTTAGCCGTAGCGCCATCTAAGAGAAATCTATGAAAGTATTTCATACATTTTCAATACATAACCAAATTACATTTGAAATTGTCACATTCATTAAAATCTACTACTCATTTGTAAGCCAGTGTCCCCTGAGAAGAATAAGAAACATTTGTATAAATTCATCATTGTCAATATTTGTTACAATTACGATGAGATAAAACAATCTGCAAGAGCCAAAAGGGATTTTTTGCAAAGGATTTTTTATCATCCACGTATGCAGAAGTTGTTTCACTATAGCTTTAAGCCTCTTAAATGGCAAATTTCAAATATCAGCCCAAATCTCATTAAAGAAGCGTATACATTGCCCCTTTGTGACTTTATGAAGACGACGGCCAAGAACAGTCAATTTTTATCGTAGTTTTATTGTGTGGTATACGATCATCGAACAAATTTTAAATATATTTAAACATGTTGTGTTATTTCAGGTTATGCAGAGAAATATCGTTCAAATTTCGCACAAGACTACCTCATGGATTATTAGTTTACCATAATGTCAAGAACCCAGTTTTTAAAATGCCGCCATACGCTTTGTATGTTATTGTAGAAAAAGGTGAACTCAAAGGTAATTGATAATTTTCAACACACTTACCCACTTCAAATAGATGCCTACTGTACAAATACGATGTTCCAAAAACACTTCAACTGCTTTTCTTTTTTGTGTTGATATACTTCTAGGTTAATGCGACTTTAAATAAATTTACAAGCGCCCGAATTTTAACCCGCCGTGTTAAGGCCGGGTTCAAATCGGGTTAAAACCCATTAACGCCCGATTTCAACGGTAAAAATTATTTACATCTAAATGATTTTTGTAAATCGAGTTTTGTTCAAATTAATGATATTAATACAAAATGTTTATTGCTTTGACTCAATTTGCCTTTCTATTGAATCGATTGGCTTTAAAATCGTATTGAAATTAATCGATACAAGAAATCGTTAGATCGTAAGTGCATTCTCATTAGTGAGATTCCACAGGATTGCAACTTTTGTGAACTTGCCTCTTTTTCGTCTAAACAAAGTTAAAATTTACAATAAGTATGGAATTATATCAAATTCCGTATTCGCTGTTTCCGCCTTCGATTTTTGGGCAGAAATGAGGTAAAACCCGCTTTGGGTAAAAATCCTGTTAAAATCCGGGCAGGTTGATTGAGTTTTAACCGACTGCCGCCTCTGTTCATAAGTAATACTTCAGAGAGTCAACTTAGACCATTGTCGGCATTGATGCTACTGTACCCACCAAAGTTTTAATCACAGAAATCTAAATAAATATTTTATGGTTTTAATACGCCATATATAATACTTTCAGTGGTCCATGTATTCGGTAAACATCTAACTTCTGTAACAGTCGGTAGAGCTCTGAACAGAGATCAATGGCACAATGTTGTAGTCACCATAGACGTTCATGGCGCTAGACTTATTGCCAAAGTAGATCAGCTCAAAGAAGAAGTCTATTTGAAGGTAAGACTTATTCTTTCTCACTTTTCTTTACCGCGATCGAAAGGTTATCACGTAACCTTGAAAACCAACCTTGTCAATTCGGTTGCTAAATGAGATGGTGTTCATTATACCGAAGCAGTAGCAGTAATTGTCCCAATTTGGAATTAACTACCTCATTTTTTTCAGGGTCTCAGTTTTGATACAAATTATGGCATTACGGATAATTTGACATCAGTTATTCTTATTGGAGGTAAGTTTATTCGTTTCGGATATGTGCGTTTACTAGCCACTTTTCTTCTTTTTATTTTCACAAAAAAGTGCAAGGAAACCGTATCTTTAGATATCTTTAGATACGGTTTCCTTGCACTTTAGATACACTTTCCCTCGGTTCACTCGGCAATTATATATCATCAACCAGTTTGAGAATGATCTTAAAACAAACCAGATCAGTAGTATGAGAAGACTGATGCGAGTAGAGACGAAAGGGGTTCCTCAGGATTCGGGTTAAGATCCATAATCCATACCTCAGAAAGATGGTATGTATGTTAACTGAAAAGGAGTCTAAACAAAACATGTGTACTTGTGGAGTGCTTTTATTTTCGAAGTAGCTACTACGTACGTCTGTGGATATTTAGTAACAATATCTCCCGCTGATTGGGAAAAACACTTGCCAAGAAGGTTCAATTCTTGGTGTTGTGTGAAGTCCATAACTTGCCCGCGTGCTAGACTATGACCTAAAACTCTCTTGAGAGAAGGCGGTAAAGTACATCGGTAATAATGTAGAGTACTAGATAATATAGCAACTTAATAGTCAATGCCTTAAACAAAATGAAAGAAGAAATAACAAGAGGAAATCATATGACCTCTATTTTTTTTTACAGGACTGAGCTCGGAAGAAAAACTCCATGGAGTCAAATACATCATAGAATCCTTCGTAGGCTGTATTAGTGACATGGTCCTTAGTTCTGGTAAAGCTGCCTCAGATCTTCTTCCAATCGTACCACTGATCGCTACTAAACACGAAAACGTTAAAGAGGGCTGTATTGACAGATGCAGAACAGTGGAAAATCTATGTTTTGAAGGTTCTAGATGTATAAATGAGTATAATGGTTATCGATGCGACTGTTTTGGAACTTTGTATGAAGAGCATTTGTGTGATGTATTTAGTAAGTATGATTATGACCTTTCATCGTCTGAGTTATTGTCAGCTATAATGTTTAATAACAATTTAACATATTTAGGAATCACCATGTATTGTCACGTAATTATTCACCATTGTTTTAGTGAATTCAAGGCTGTGGCATACTGGCTTTTTAATTATGCCACATTTTCAAGTCACACTACTATAAATAATTCTGGATCAAGGCATCTATATTGTTACGGCAATTTTTTTATATAATGTCACATATTCAAGTTACACTATTATAAATAAGCTGGATCTCATCGATAATGAACTGATCACAAAAAACTTTTTTTTTATTATACCAACTGACGGGACGAACAAGTCGTGTGCCTGATGGTAAGCGACACATCTGTCCATAGTCAGTCATTGCAGTGCCACTCAGAACTTTATATCGCAAAAATATTAGGGGCACTGCCACTGCGCCCGTCACACTGAGATATAAGTCGATAAGTCCCATGTAATTGTAATTTCACCAGCAGACAGCAGACTTTCCAAAAATCAAAAGAGTTTTTAAAAACTTTAATTGATTTTTATTTGACGTAAATTTACTGAGGTTAAAAGATCGATAGCAAATTACATCAACAAATTAAAAACCATGTGAACAGAATTTTGAAAACAGTTTACGTCAGAGAGTTAAACGTTGTATAAGAAATTGCATAATGACAATCACCTAAATGCTATCTTCATTAATTATCTGACACTCCTTTGTTTTAACTTAATTACGATCTCCATAAAAATGGACCCAGTTTAGACGTGGTTACTTTCACTGGCTATCTATTGATATTCGTTACATCATCATTTTATTTACGAGCCAAAACGATTAAATTTACGTTCCTTGTTTTACCAATCAACCATTTAGCTCAATAATTATAAATTGTATCAGCTCTCTGGGAGCTATACCGATAATGCTGCGTCTGAATAAGCGTTTATATACGATACGACCCATTACCAATTTCAATAAAACTGTGGCGTAATCGTTATAAACAGCAATGATGAAAATTTGATTGTAAGGTACCAATCTGAACGCGTCTAATCAATATGCTACTAATGATTTTTTTCATCTAATTTAATAATTTTATGAGCAACGAGATTTCTTATTACAGCAAAAATAAAACTTTCAGATCTCGTTAATTCTTTCACTTTCATCCATTTCAAAACCAGTTTAATGAAATAAGAAAAAGCAGTAATTGAAAATAAAATTTCAATCGCCGTAAGCTTTTTATTTCACTTAGGAAGTATCACTTTCGTTAATCGAGTTTAGATATTGATTACGTCATATGTGTTACATTCCAAGATCGCCATTTATTAAATGCTAGTTGTTAAAATAAGTACTTACCTACTTTTATTTTTTCACGTCTCCTGTCTTAGGCCGGTTTTTTATTTTGTAGGTGTTTGTTCACTTTTTGACACACGAGTTTGAAATTGAAATTGTTTTTTATATAATTATTAATACAAAGATCGAACACTCAGAAAAAACACTCAGAAAAAATTCCTTCGATCCGGTCGGATTCGAACCGACGTCTTCTTGCATACCGTGCCAGACGCTATACCAACTAAGCCACGGAACGAAATTGTTTTTTATAACCATACTTTTCACACGAATTAGTATGTTAAACTTGCCCCTTAGATCTGATTTGTTTTGTCTACTGAAAGATTCTACAATAGTTCGCACCTTTGGTATAATAAAGCAACATGTGATGTGATGTAACGTCAAAAGTCACAAAAATGGTACAAACTACATGAAACAAATTATGTACTTATAGCGTGAAAGTTTATAACTCTATTTAAACACCAAAAAATTGTCGACTAATTTCGTTCGTAGAATCTATAAACCTCTCTCCCGAAAAATTATAATTTTGCAGATGTGACTTTACTACACGAAGGGTGTTTCTTTAGTATATAGGTACACCTATGCTATTTTAGAAATGACTACTTGTGTATCATATAATACATACAAAGAACACCATTCAAATGCGGTATATCAAGTAAAAAATGTACAAAGAAATAATGTCTTAATAAGTAAAGTTCACATTTTTACCATTCGAATATATAAGTGACATTTTTATCATTCGAATATATAACTTTTTTATAATATCAAGAGACAGGATGAACAAATCATGATGGTAAGATACACTAAGGTAAGATAAGTGAAGGAACGAACAAGTCGTGCGCCTGGTGATACGCTATACGGCTGTCCATAACAGGTGCAGTGCCACTCAGAACTTTAAATCGCAAAGATCGGAGGGGCACTGTCACTGCGCCCGTCACTCTGAGACATAAGTTGACAAGTTCCATGTGCCCGTAATTTCAGTAGCACCCTTACCCTTCAAAACCAGAACACAGTAATGCTAACATTGCTGCTTGGCGGCAGAAATAGGAAAGATGGCAGTACTTCCCTGGACGAACTCTTTCACAAGCAGCTTCACAAGGAGCTCTACTGCTACTACAATATAAGTTATGTTTATCCAAATGAATTTATAAAGTATTTATAACACAGCGGCAACGGTGTTGACATTACGGGGATCCAGTTACGTCTCGTATCGCGTGTATGATTGGAAAGATCGAGTTCATTCCACCAACACCAGGGTCAGCTTGCATTTTAAGGTAAAATAACTTAATTTACATCTCAATCTTAATTTAATTAGTGAACTGTGAAACATTATATCCTTCTTGGGTAGTCCATCTGACAAGGGTACGATGAACTCAAAGTGTTTCAGACCAATAAATACACCAAAGTTAGGATTTTAAATCATTTTTATCGTTAACAGTATAGAATTGAGTTTAAATTTAAACCCCTGCTGTTCGCTGTACACATAATTTTTCATTGCTGAGGAAAACGTGTACTTTATAAAAAGATCAAAATTTCGCATTAAATCTGCCTCGAGCGCAAAAACAAGTATTATGTCTCAAAATTCTTTGTTAAAAATTTTGCATTACGTCATTTACAATAAGTATTACTAAAAATGCATTCTTAACCAGAAATTGTAATTCAAATTGTTCTACATTTTATTTCGAAATAGTTAAAAAAATCCTCTTAGTTTATATGTAAGATATTATAAAACCGTAATTAACAAATTTGAAAATCGATGTGGTGTCGAGTAGAAGTGAGACCAAATTACTTCAATCAACCGATTAGGAGTGAGGTAACGTTGTCGAAACGTTACTTAAATGTAAAGGTTGTACTTTTTATTTGGTTTGCATAATTCCATTACAAATAACATTCCTTACGTCACGAAATGCAAATTGTAACTACCTCAGTATAGCTTTTAAGCCCGCTAGGCATTATGTAAAAGATCCCGTGTCCAATTTTCCGTATCCAATTAGGGAAACGAACTTTTCTAGAGCCCTCAGAGCGATCAAGCAAATAATTGAACAGGTATTGTTCTATGGCCTGGAAAATATGTTTGGATTTTGAGTATCATTACACTTACAAAATATTTTCTATCAAAATGGTCATTAATTGAAGTGTTTAATGCCCGCTAAATATAAAGACCTAGCTATATTATATAAATACAATTAGTATCAACACATTTATCGACCTCTATTTTCAAGTCCAACCAGACAATTCATATCTAGAATTTGCGTTGCTAAACAGAGGACCGCGCTAAAACTAAGACTTTATTACAATAAGGCAAGACAGGTACTTAATAAGGCATTTTATATTGATTTTCAGACCCGGTTCGATGACTCAGCCTTGTTCTATGCAAGCGGTCAAATAGATGACAAACATCATTATATTGCTCTGTCAATTCATCGAGAAAAAGTTGCAATACAAATAGACTTTGGAGATGGCCCCGTAGAAGATTATCTAGGTGTGCATGTGAATAATAATAAATGGCACAATTTAACAGTGTTACTGCAAGAACAAACCGTATTCGTTTACCTAGATGATATAACCGCAACATACGAAATACCAGGCAATGCTAAATACGTTTACATTGACCCAGAAATCTACATATGCGGAGGACCTGATTTACATAAAATGAAAGGATTGAAGTCTTTTAACAATTTTGCTGGAAATTTGAAGTACGTTTATTATAACGACGTCTCCATACTTTATGAACTAAAACAAAGTAATCCTAAAGTACATTACATAGGAGTTCTCGTGGATCCAGAGTTTGAAGAAATAGATATCGAAGTAATTCCAATTACTTACCCTTTTGCAACGTCCCATATTTGGTGGCCTCTCAACCAAAGTCAAAGTATTAATTTAGGTTTCGAGTTCAAAACAAGTAAGAATATGGCTGTATTGGCTTACAGCCAGATTACATCGGGACAAGGTTATTGGGAGGTAAAACTACTTTTAGACTAAAATGGACATAATAATTTTTTAAGTATCAGTATTAAGGGATTAAAGTAATGGAAAATTCCAAATTTTTAGGTACGAATGGTTAAAGAAGAAATAAGATTCGAATTGGTACCAGATGTTGGCAAAAACGTTACAGTACTGAAATCTGTTAAATTTAACGTAAGCAATGATTGGCATACCGTAGAACTAGACTATAGGAAAGGAAGAATAAAGTTGACTGTTGATCATCACAACAAACCCGCACAAATGTTTGGTAAGAAACTGGAATGAATTCTATAATACGTCACATATTCAAAATAGATAGCCAAATTATTTTTTTACAGGTCTTGATTTTCAACTTCAAGATAAAATAGTGATTGGCAGTGGACTCAAATCAGCGAACTTAGGCTTGATTGGATGTATGAGAAACATTAAAATCAATGGCCTTCTAATTGAACCCAGGTAAAGAAATGTTAAGTATGAGTAATTTAGGTTCACTCACAAAATATGCCACACGCACGCATATGCTTTTGTTTTCAATTACAGATTCGTCATAAACACAGAAAGAGTAGTGGGTGAAGTTGCGATTGATGATTGCCGATACGTGGATCCTTGTACGAGACCGAATACTTGTGAACATGGCGGCATCTGTTCCATTAGAGAAGATAGAGTTATTTGCAACTGCGACAATACAGGTAACTTAATAAATAATTTGTCCACATTTGCACAATTAATTTTCTTTAATTTTTTTATTCACTGCGCTCCATGCCTAGCTGACACAATTCAGCATAAAGCTAAATTCTAATTCTTTGTAAATTCCGACATAAAAACTCATTGAACATCGTTCGCTTTCAGGCTATATTGGCGAAAACTGTCACTTCGCGACATTCAGAAAAACCTGTGAAGAGCTTGCTCTTCTTGGTTATACGAGAAATGATGTTTACCTCATCGACATTGATGGTAATGGAAAATTTCCACCAGCTCATGTGAAATGCGAATTCAGAGAGATTGAAGCTGATTCTTCTATTACTGTGGTTGAACATAACTTACCTAGTCAAGTGGTTAGTGATAAGATAACTTTATATTAAGGATTTGTAACCTAGTTATAGTTGCGTAAGTATTTCATTTTTGTTTTTTCAGGATGTTCGGTCATCCTCGGGTCAAGATTTCAGTTTTAGAATAAAATACAGAGAGTTTACAGCAGAAATGCTACAAGAACTCATCTCCCACTCCTTGTACTGTCGACAATTTATTAAGTATGACTGCTTAATGGCGCCTTTGGAGTTGCACAGTGCAACGTGGTTCATATCCTCATCGAATGACACGGTGGATTTCTTGGGAAATGTGTCCAGGTAGGTAGTAATAGAAGAACTTATTCTTTTTTTTTTTCATGTATTATTTTTGATGGATGAACATAACAATTTCAATTGTCAGTTCATGTAAAATTACTTAAAAATATCCATATCCATATTTGATCTTCTAACACTTTAATTCATCAAGTAGACTTACTTACAGAGGGTACTGCCCCTGTGGAGTCAACGCAACTTGCGTTAATCCTACCCAGTCCTGCAATTGCGATGCCAACGAGAACAAGTGGCATTCTGATGAAGGCACTTTGGTAGATCCAAGGAGTTTGGGCATCACGGAGATGTTCTTTTTACAACAGAAAGATCTAACTGAAGAAGCTCAAGGGAGAATCACTCTAGGACCTTTGGAATGTGTGGAAACGAGTTAGTTCACTCTTATTAGATTGCTGTGTTAACTGCTTCTCAGAACATATGCAGAAATACTCTCAATTCTTCTCAGATACTCAACGGTACGTGGTAACCTTTACAACCTCACAATCATACATCGAAGTACCCGGTTGGAGAAAGGGCGACATTGCCTTCAGCTTTAGAACCACAGGGACCAGCGCTATCCTGTTATTTCAACCTCCTATACGACCCAATTATCCGTCGTTTATGGTCGCATTGACAAGCGGTAAGTTACAAAAAAGACAATAAAAAACTAAACAATTGTATGAACATTTTCTGTTTTCATTATTTATATAAATTGTATTTTATTCGTTATTACAATATAGAGCACGAGCTTACGTTTAACTTTACATTAAACACTGGTACTACAAGGAAACTAGTGATAAACTCAAAACGTAAGCTTAATGGTGGAGAATGGCACAAAATCTGGATAGATTACAACTTCTATCATGTCAGGTTTATGTTGAACACAGAGTATCAGATGCTGAATCTATTATTGGAAGAAGAGTTTGGACCGTTTGAAGGGTCTATGTTCATTGGTGGAGCTACTGCGTAAGTCAATCATTACTTGCATTTGGGTTCTAGAACGTTTGTAAGCACTTCATACAACTCCCTATCTTGATTTTTACTGTCTTCCGGTTACTGTTTCTTATTTGAATTCGCAATTTTTGCCTGTTTTGTTATAATATCTCTATGTCAGCATTGTTTTTACTTGCAGTGAACACTTAAAAAAATCCGCAGTAAACCAAGGCCTCATAGGATGTTTCAGAGGCCTCGTAGTAAATGGGGAAATCCTCGACATCTACAGTTACATGTCTGTCCACTTGTCAGAAATTATAAAAGACTGTAAACCATCGTGTGTACCGAATCCTTGTCAAAATAAAGCTATTTGCAAGGAGCTATGGTCAAGTTACGAATGTATTTGTAAAAATCCTTGGTCGCATTTGGGTAGACATTGTGAAGAAAGTAAGTAAGAGCTATAATCAAAAAATTAAATAAAGTAAGTGATTGACTTAGTTAATTCCTTCCTTTACTTTTACAGACATAAACAAAAAAGCTTTAACATTTCAAACCAAAGAAGCTTATTTAAAGAAGAATTACTTAGTAGACAATGCAACGGATGCAGAAAAGCACAGATTGAAGAAAATGATGACAGAGAATGTTCTTATGAATCTTAGAACTTACGACAATAACTCATTAGTTCTATATGCTAACGATAATTTAAATAACTTCATACATTTATTCATACACAATGGTACACAAATCATATATCTTTTTAACTATAAAGATGAAATAATTCAAATTAATGTGACACATGAAAAGATCAATAAAGGCGAAAGTGTACAGATAGCTATTATAAGAACGGAAAATACTACTACGTTACACGTGAATGATAAGAATACAACGATTGATAAAGCACCTGTGCTTTTAAGTAATTATACAAATAAACCGTGGATAAATCCAGAATTAGGTGAGTTAGGTTGGGGAGCAGTATTTCTTTCACTGTTCATACAGAATGTCTCAGTCAAAATTCGAATCGTAATAAAATTTGTTACAAGGATAGCTTCATTTGTTCAAAGTAATCTACTGCTGCTATTCGTCTTTATTTTTCCCCATCATTAAAATCATTGGATACACGTCTGAGCATTGAAAGAAGTATGCAAGAATTAGATAGTTTCATGCAGAATATAGAACACGTCATATTGCTTTCCAGAAGTAATCCGTCCACAAAGACCTCCAGCACCACCGACAGATTATTTTCAAATGAATCTTGGCGGTTACGATAACTACTCCTTACATTTGGCAGCTAGGGCTCTTGAATTGCCACAAGGAGGGTATGTGGGGTGTGTCAGAGGATTTAAAATCGCTGATCACGTTGTGGATTTGTCTAGGAAAGCACAAGAAGAAAATCCTGGTAACAACCATTTGTTTAATGATTTGAGCAATAGGTATTTTGGGATTGTGATATTTTTATCAGTTGGATAAACTAAAGAAACAAATAAACGCTGTCGGATACGTATGTTTTCGAAAACAGAAATTTTGTCAAATTAAAAAAAAAAAGTTCTAAATACATAAATAATTACTTGAGAAACTAAACGGTGAACATTTTTTGCTCTTCAGACCTAGCAGGTGTTCTACCAGAGTGCAACATGAAGTGTGACTCGGAACCATGCAAAAATGGAGGGGTTTGTACGGAAAACTTTACAAAACAAGAGAGTACATGCAACTGTGAGTTGACCAGTTACTTTGGGGAATATTGTATGGAAGAAAAAGGCGCTGATTTTAATGGAGAAAGTATATTGAGGCGCAAATTTATTCTCTCTGGACCTATTCTCAAGGTAAGACTGTAATAGGAATAAAAATAAAAAAGAGTATTACGTACGTGGTCATATTAAATTCCTAGCAAACTGTTTTTTAGGTAAAAATTAAACTAGCCTTCTCCAGCAATGACCTTCGTCAGAAAAACACCGTTTTGTTATTAGTGCAAACAGAAAACAAGTAAGTATTTTAATATCTGATTTGATTTCTTTCAAAGTTAAGGACTATATTTGAATACTTATTTCTTGTTTGGTTTCAGACGTAGTTACTATCTTTTGGTGGCAATAACACAAGACGGTTATCTTAAATTTGAAGAAGATCAGGAGGAAGCAGCATATGGAGCTGAAGTTAAGAATAGGATTTTTTTAAATGGTAAATAAGTAATGTATTTAACTAAAACGTAGATCTTGACACCTGATATTTTATATTAAAAGAGGGTGGAATATAATTTTCATTTAAGATGCGATCACAAAATCTATTTATTACTCGTATCTGAACAGAACTCGGTGACCACGTGTTCGTTCAAGGCAGTGTATATTTACAACTCAGTAAAAATCAATTAAATTTAATGCTTAACTTAAAGAATCCTTACTTTCCAGGAGCAAGACATACAGTCTACTACACAAGATTAGGTCACGAAGCCAAACTTCTCATAGACAGAATTGAAGTTCCTTTAGAGAAACTACCACCTCAAGACTTATGGGAAGCTCTGGATGTAGGTTCTAACGAAGTCCAGGTCGGTGGTCTTAACACTACTGACCCAAGACTTAAAATTTATAAGGGGTATAATGGATGTCTTTCTAGTAAGTTTATTTTTATAAGATCTAAGATTTCCTAACAATACTGAACTTACACTATAAAGTGAAGCTAAGTACTTTACAAATTTATTTAAAACGTAAACAAATCAATAATACTAACGTTAACAATAGCAACTGGAAAAAATTAAACTGACATAATAAATAAAAAGTCTTTCCACAACACCGTCATTAGGTTCCAAAGGGTACCCTTTGTGTACCCAAGAAGTTTAGTTTTTCTAAAAAGTTGAAATAATTGAATTTCACGCAACAACTTTACTGATGTGACTTGGAATTAACACAGACATTCTAGTAGAAGTAAACGATCTTGGCAGTATGAAACCTTTAGAAGAATACATGCTGTACACACGGTCAGACGCTGAAAAGGTTAATGTGGTTAATGCTCAAGGAGTTAGAAGTGCGCAATGTTCAGCTGATTTTGACGAGACTTGGCCGGAACGGGATCAGCTGGGTGCTACGCATAATGGAAGTTTCCTCATTGTAAGTGGATATGCTAGGTATTCACAATCTTTATTTTTTAGAGGTCCAACATTACTCTATCTTCTTCGAACTTCCTTTACAAACATTAAATATTTTAGATAACAGGGATGACAACAAGAGAATGCAAATAGCACCTCGTTTTATTAACTGGGCGCCGTTTGTTAAAACCAAATTTTTGCCCGATAAGTAAGATAATAATAATAATAATAATAATAACGCTCACAATCAACATAGCCCCGCACTAGGGAAACCCTGTGTCGCGGGTGCCATGGACACACACATAAACAACCACAAATTACACCCAAACTCACGAGAGAAATAAATGTAGGCTATACAAATATTTCTCTCGGCCCGGGAATCGAACCTGGGACCTCTGCGTGGCAGTCCGGCATGGTGACCGTTCGGCCACGGAGGCAGTTAAAAGTTAATCCACAATACGATGCCAGAATCACAAATTCTCTTGCTCTTTACTTAATAGAAATTATCTGCGTAGTCTTTAAATTTTACTCGCTTTTATTACAGAGCGTTGACAAAACTTGGGTCGAAGATCCTCCGTCAAGAATCCCTTACGACTCTTTATACCAACAACCAGATGATGAGGAAGAAAATACAGACAAAATATTTATTGCTTTGATTGTTATTTTCCTACTTGGATTGTGCTACTGTGCTTATCATGTATGTATTGTAGAAATAAGTTCCGAAATTTAAGATTTTGTTACACTTCATTTTTGTTCAGATTACTTACATGTGTACATAGGAACTATTAAAAGGTACAAAATCTTGGATAAGATAATGGAGGTAAGTATGTACAATAAAGTATAATGAAATGTATATTTCAGATGTGGAAAACTAACAAAGCCCATAGATTGCGCCTGGAGAAAGAAACCGACGAAAGAATCATGAGAGATAAAGAAAAAGCAATGAAACGTCAGGAACCAAGCATTTCGTTTTTGCAAGTAAGTGTAAAATTGAAAAGTAACTGCACAGAAACCATACTAACAGCTGGTGAAGAGTTTCTGTGGCTAAATTTCTGTAGTTTACCGATAAGACCAAAAAATAAATAGGCGTAGGGCAACCAGATCCCGATGAAAAGTTTATCGCACGGTAAACACTCTTTTATATGAAATAAAATGAGAATTTAGCAAGAGCCACACGTCAAATTTCATGCTTGTTCTTCTCAGAGGAAGACCTTCTGAATAAGCAGTAGATTTTAAACACATTATTATTTCAAATACCCTATTGAAAATCCACCGCAAGCTTGGTCCTCCATAAAGTATAGTTCGTTTACCTAATCTCGAAATAATATTTTTTCTTGAATTCAAATCTATATTTTTAAGAAGAATCACCATAATGGTTGTTGTAATATAATTTGAGCATGAGCTTTCATTTTACATAAACAAACATACTGTATATTTATTTTTCAGCTGAACAAAGATGAAGATGCCAAAAAGGACGGTGAAAAGAAAGCCAATGGTGTGACGATTGATGCACTTCCTACAATTATAGTAGAAGTGCCTGGTGAAGAAAAACCATCGAGTCGAAGAGGATCTTTAAGATTTAGAGGTAAATAAATTACTAATTCATACCTTCCCAATTATAAAATATACCTAAGTATATAAGTGGAACTGCAGATCCACAAAGCAAATACTTGAAGATGTTAATCCATATTCTAGTTTCGACAATGAATCGAAATCACATACTGCTCCACGTTTATGTATAGCCACAGGATAAACTTTACAAACGATTAGAAGTTTATCGCTGTCTATAATCGCGAAGAATATTTTCCAACAAACCACTATGGCACACCTATATGTCTTACCTATCGTACAACGAATCACCCTTAACCACTTGATTATTAGTACTGTTTTCTACTGTGGTGTCTTGCTTGTGAGTTTTGTATGCGATTAATACTGTTAGTAGTGATATAAGTGTTATTTCATTTGTAGACCCATTCATATCCTTTTTCACATGCCACAGTTAAATTAACCTTTTCATAGATATCGCTGATAACGCACTTGAACTATTAGAAGAAAAGGATGAAACCCTAGAAAACGAAGAGGATGAACGAGAGAAGGAAGAAAAAAATGAGAATATTAACATTGCTCACACTGACAACAAACTCTTGAACTCTAATAATGAAGAAGATACTTGTAACACGAAAGCAGACGAACAAGTGGACAGTCAAGATAATTCAGACAATTCGGTAAAAACGGTTATTTATTATTTAGAAGATAATCTTATAATAAAATATTCAAAAAGTCTTATTTATGCCAAACATTGTCTTGTACAAAGGAGTATTTACGCTAGCCTCAGTAACAATACGGGAGCTATGAGGAATTATTATTAAAATTCTCCCCGAAAGTTTTGTGAAAGGCTAGCCAATTTTGTGAGAGTTTTTTGAATAATTAATCTCTAAACTAGACCAGCCATTCAAACCAAAATAAGATAATTCCAATAGCGAAATATTTGAGAATTGCTAATTAAAATTGCAGTCTCTCTCTGGCATCTAAAGTCAACAAAATATATACATTTTGCCAAGTTACAAAAAAATGTGGCTTATTTGTAGCACTTTCCAATCTTTTGGGGTAGTGGTCTAAAACGCATCGTATTATTCTAAAAGCGGACTAGACCGTCTCTAGCACTGTTCAGCCTTTACACATCCAGACTAGTGGCAGCTAGTTCATTGGGACATAGGCGAAATATCAAACAGAAAATATCCTTAATATCGACAATGCTTGGCCGTATAACTTAAGATCATAAGTCCTCTAGGGTGCACGAAATGTGCCTCCACACAAGACGTACTTACACTTTGCCTTCCTGTCTGGCGATCGCACCCTTGGTATAACAAAGAAACACGCGATCATACGTCAAAAGTGGTTTTATCACGTGAAAGTCATAAAAATAATACAAACTACATGAAACAAATTACGTGTTTGTGAAATTTTATAACTCTCCTATTAAAGCATAAAAAAGATCTAGATTAATTTCGTAAATCTTTCTGTGCAGATGTGGCCTTTATTACACTAAGGATTGTAAACTAGTTAATGTTGTATGCGGATTCAAAATTCAACTATGTTCGCATAAAAAAACTTCTTGATGTAAGAATCACTAGCCAATATATTAAAAATATTCTTCTGTTTTAGAATCCTCATAGACCCTATAAAGATTCAAACAAAGGACCACCAACATTAACATCACAACTACCTTACAAAATTGATGAAGATGGCTCCAACGAACTTTTAACCTCTACCGCTTAATAGTTTTTTATAGAATTAAGCAATACATTTTTTTATGTTTGTAGCGTTCATTTATTTACGATTTCCCAAAGACTTTAAACTATTAAGCGTAAGTACACACGCCAGCACATCAAGCTACACATTGACGTATATCTTGTTCCATTGCAATGAAGGCGATTTTCGAAGAAAAATGTGTAGTCTGATGTGCCGTTGTGCGTACATAGATACCGTTGCTATTTCCGTTGTTTTTATACATCGAGTATATAACCAGAAATAGAGACGAAATGTCATTTAATTTGTTTGAAAACTATTCTGCCATATCATTACTGTGACAACTGCGCTCCGATTGGCTAGCCCGAGTTCGAAACAATTGACGAGTATCGTCAACTGTTTCACTTCAAATCGATCAGTTAATTTGAGCTATGCTATAATGGACGAAAATTTCAAAGTTACATATTCAATATTTATTTACCGATGAAATGTGATTCCGTTTGTTTCGTAATTAGATGTTTTGCTGTTTTTCCTACACCAGCGAATAGAACAGCACGGCATTGTTAGAGATATTACCTTTATAACAATTAATACAGAATATTTTTTAACTGACTTCAAAAAAGGAGGAGGTTCTCAATTCGACTGCATGTTTTTTTTTTCTTTTTTTTTGTATGTATGTTACGCGATAAATCCGGTATTTGTGAACCGATTTTCATGATTCTTTTTTTGTTGGAAAGGAGGTACTTCCATAGTGGTCCCATTTCATTTTGAAGGAAATCATCCACCTCAAAGGGTGGCTGTTCACGCATGAAGATTAATTTTTATAAATAGCGCCTAACTTTAATTTAGGAGCAATTACTTTTAGCAATTATTTAGTTGATTTTGCTATTTCATCAATTCAAGGCGTTTTTCCCTCGATATACTTTGAGTAGTGTCGTAGTGAGAACCTATTTTTATTATCTCCAGTATCAAGTCCTGTATAGTGGCGAACTAGGGGATATTTCAATGAAACTTAGCAAATAGACGTAATTCCACGTACTTTTGAGGTCGGTTTTTTAGTACTCTGTACTGAGATTATATTTTTTGGATTATATATATATGTATATATATTGGAAGATACGGAGATGTACACACAGGTCAGTAGTTGGCCTGTCTATATTTCAATGCAAACGGGAGTTGATATTTATAAGAGCTGTATCGCTAATGTGTTACCAGGAATATATGGCCCTTATTTCGTCTCTATTTCTGGTTATATACTGGATGTTTTTATATATAAGTGCAAACGAATTACACTGATAATGACGTGACAACACGTGCTATTTTTAGTAAGTATTAGAAAGAAAGAAAAATCAAACACTCATTCGTATTATTAGACGAGCAAAGTTCCTGCTAAATAAAAAAGAGTCCTGAACGATTGTTAAAACTAAGCTGTACGAACCAACTAACGCGTTTACGCACTACATCCGATTTGCATTGGTTCCGAATCCTCGGATTGTACACATTTAGAAAACTCGGACCGACTTCGGATGTCGCTTATCACTAAGTCCGATTTGAATCCGAGAAAATTCCAATATCACACCTACAGATAAAATAATCCCTGTGCCATTTCGGACCGTCATTTTTCGGATTCGGAACTGGGTGCCTACCCCCGTTCTCCGTCCGACAATTACTATCAAATAAGTAATAACTCGACCAAATTAAAACACATTACTATTTTACGACTACAATAGCGTCATTTATAGTACGCAAAACACCTCTATGCTTCGCAGTCTTTGTAAATATATTATAATGTGTCTAGAATAGTAGAAGGCTAATGACCTGACCTTTCTTAAGCAAAAATTTGTTTACATCCTTAGATTTTCGTAACGATATAGGTTTTTTCCTATATCTATGAATAACACCTATATTTTTAACCGACTTCAAAAAAAGGAGAATAATAATAATATTTTTTTCAGTACAATAACAGTAATAAAATAGGTGACAAAAAACACATACAATTTATGGTTGTTCATAAACTGACAGAGAAACTGTGGACAGGACATCAATCACTTCCCAAAGTAGGGTAACCCTGTACTTTGGGAGCTGTTGACAATCCTCCGCCAGTAAACAAAATTACAAATATTTTACAACCGGTTTCCTCATGGACGTATACAGAATATATATATATATATAGAAATAGTGTGAATGTAATGTAAGTAAATAAAACAGCACAAACTATACACCTATATAGTTTGTGCCTTTTTTCTATTTATTTATTATGCTTTATGCAAACACTGATACATGCAAATACTATTAAGGGAGACGTACTAAATATCGGATACTATTTGAACATTCGAAAAAACACTAATATAATATTTAAAAATGTATATTTATTGCAGTCACAGTAATTTTCAAAGATCTAAACGTTCATCTTTTTTAATGATCCCCCATCTAAACAAATAATTAAACTTTTAAAAAATTAGAACATATAGCTGATGTCAAACACCGTCGCGTAAACAAGTCTGCAGTCTGCGAGCATGTCATGGATAAACCTACACATTCAATGAAGTTTGACAAACCGCAGGTCCTTGCAAAAGAAGTCCGTTATCTACCCAGGATGCTGCGAGAGGCCATTGAAATTAAAAAACATCCTAATTTCAACAGGGAAGATGGTTTCTCCGTACCACCAATTTGGGAACCAGTATTTCCTCTAATGAAAAATCCCAAACAGACATAAGACTGCAGTACTAATTAATATGTTTTAGTGAATAGGCATTTTTTAGGCAAACGCGTCCCATCGTCAGTCACATCGTCGCTTAACATCAGGTGAGATTGTGGCCAAGCGTGTGTCTATTATATATATAAAAAAAAAAGTTTATTCTAATTTCTATTATTGATTAATAATAAATTGAACTTTATAAAAATTCATTCAATAAAATAATTTGTAAAAGTTAATATAGCGTAAATTGGAATGTTTTCTTTGGAAAATTAAAAATAAGGTATTTAATTAATAACTATTGTAACTATAGTGAAAAAATAGGGTGGTTTGCATCAATATTAGACATAACTGGTTGAAGACTGTACCACCTCAGTCAACCGTGACCATGGGACCTGTAAAGGGCCCGAAACGTCGGTTTGTTTGAAAAAACAAATATACGCGATTTAAATCCGGAAAAATAGTTTCATTTCCTAAATAATTAAACATTTAAATGTGAAAGACACTGTACAACCAGTGATGTAGGTACCCCAATAGCGGATATCTAGTATTGTGGATACCTAGGTATCCAACATTGAGGTACTACCTACTTGTACAATAACCGGTTACGAACATTTCAACCTGCGCAATTATCGCTAAAATGTGTTAAGTTCTGTATTCTAACTATGCGCCTAGCTAGTATATAACAGTCACAAAATATAATATTTCGAAATCAAGGTCTGAAAAAATCGTCAAACAAAAATGGCGTAGACAACTAGCAAAATATTGATAACTTACATTGAGGAAGTAGTTCTAATTTTAAAGTAAAGACGAATTTGTTTAGTTTTCATTATAGCGGGGTATCCAGTATTGTGCGCGTGTTCAATATTTGGTACGTCTCCCCTACTAAGTAAGTTAAGGGGAGAGCGTCAAACAGAATAATTAAATTAGAAAAATTTTTCGGTCTCATCATAAGTTTGTGTTTCTAGCCATTTAAATAGTTTCTTTTTGATCTCAAATGCGCATAAGGTATATATATTTAATTTAAGAAGGTTCTCAATTCGACTGCTTTTTTTGTATTTGTATGTATGTAACACGTGAACTCTAATTTGTGACCCGATTTTGATGATGCTTTTATATTGTAAAGAGGATACCTGAGAAGTGGTCCCATTTAAATTTGAAGAAAATATTCCACTTCTAAGGGTCGCAAACTAGGGGATGAATGAATTTTGAGGACGGTTTTTTAGTACTCTGTACTGAGATTATTTATCTCATGACACCTGTAAGGTTTTTTTTTCAATATTATTAACAGATTTACGCTATATTTCTAAAAAAAGTTTCAAATTATACTGGGTTACACTCGGTTCCAAATATTTTGAGATCATTCATTTGCACTTCAGTGACCTGGGGAAAGTGTATAATTTTTTTGTCCATTCATTCGTACAATATTTTTAACATGCTTTTATTTTACATTGCAGTGCCTAATCGTCATGCCAATGAATTATAAAAGAAAAAACCCGGACTTACAGCAATTTCTAAGATGATAAGATGTTATTTAGATTTATTTTTTTTCATTTACCATTTTTAATATTTTTATAGTTCAAATAGTAAGTAATATCAACAATACAATTCAAACATATCTTTGTTTTTTACTAAAGAATACTTTATCACTATATATATTATATTTAGTTTGAATCTATGAGCAAATGCATACCCATGTGCGTCTATCTCTCTACGCCAGGGCGCGCACAATTACCGCAATGCGGGTCAAATGAACTCATTCCTATTTTTGTTATATTTAAAGTTTTTGGTTTCATTGAAATTTAGAGCCAAAAAATGTTTTATTTGAAAGTAATACCTTTATGTTAATAAGCTCTTATATTTTATGTGCAGTAAGCCCTATATTACAAAAGTGCGCGCACTTGACCGGAATGCTCTACGTGGTTCACGTCCGAGTTTACACGGGTTGTTCTCAAGGAGATCCGAAAAAAGTCATACAAATATTGCTCTAACATTACAAAACATACAGCTCCGCATAAATTTTGTACGTTATTTATTTAATGTTTTACATATATAATTATATTTAACTCCAACAATTGTAAATAGTAGCTGTTAATAACGTAATACAAACATCTTGATCACTAAAATACTAAATTATTTTATTAAACAGTACCGTTATTTTCATGGACAAAGAAATTTCGTGGAAAACCTTAAATTCCACAGACGTGTATGTACCACGTTACTTCAATGTTTTATGTTTATATTAATTACGTCCTTATAGCTTAAAGTATTAATTTGTTTGAAAAGAAATAAACAATGTGGTCACGAAAATGGTGAAGACATTATTTTAGCCTTATTAAGCTTCCGAAAATTAAATAAAGCTGGCTATACCATTTTGGCTGTCCGTATCTACTAGTATCGAAAACGGCATTGTCTATGCTTTTAAAAATAAACCTATGATTATGTACGGATGACAGTCGCTCCGTCTTGTCTTTGAATAATTTTGATTTCGGAAGTGGCTGCTGGTTTCATCGAAGCTTTTCGTAAATTTATAAATACCATAATGGAAGAAATTGAGAAAGAGAAGAAAGCAGCATTACCATCTCAGCTATTAATAACAACGATATGTCATCCCATGGAATACGCAAAGGTACTGATACAATTAGGGTATGAACCCTTGCCACCGCGCCGATCCACAACTCTTTTCGGCCGGCCTGCCATGATATTACCTAACGTTTTCCAATACATTAAGTATATCAAAGCTCAAGATGGGTTCTTTGGGTGCTATCGTGGCTTATCAGCGAGATTACTCGGTTTAATAGCCTCTAGTCAACTTACTTCAAAGGTGATCTACGCGTGCGGTATTGACCTGCCAGAAATCAATGACCCTCCCAATATTATTACTGACGAAGAGCCCGTTGCGGAGGACTACATCAAGCTCGGCCGGCGTGATATGATCATGCACACTGCCGCTGTTATCGTGTCGTATCCTTTCCACGTTGTCTCTGTGAGAATGATGGCCTCGTTTATCGGCAAGGAAGAAGAGTACAGTTCCTTGATCAGCGCAATCATTTCAGTGTACAGAGATGACGGCATTCGTGGGTTCTTCCACGGCATTGTTCCTAAACTACTAGGAGACTTGACTTGTGCAGCCGTCACAGGTGTATTAGCGTACTATGTAAACAAGCATTTGGTGAAGACCAAAGATTTGAGGTACTACACTGTTCCATTCCTCACTTTCATCACAAGTACAGTGACCTACCCGCTGGTAGTTGTTTCTACATGCATGGCTGTGACAGGATGCAGCCTTAGAGCAGGTTGCCCTCCCAATATGCCTAAGTATCCTCACTGGCAAAAATGCTGGCAAGACTTGGTCAGAAATAAGCAACACAAACGTGGCTCATCCTTAATCTTTAGGTACTATATAGCTCCAATTGCAGCACTGCAATAAGGGCACTAATTTTCAATATGATTGCATTTATCTATTGTTTATTTGCTAAGTGTTTTTCCACTATCACCAAAGTAGTAATTTCAACCTCTAGAGAAATTAAGGTACAATGGAATGTGTAAATAATGTTAATAAATGGTGTACATGTGGATATTCATTCTGCTAGATTGTTGATAAAAATATGGTTATATATAAATAAATATATAAAATATAAAGTTTGTTTTGCTTCATAAAAACCATTGATAATATATGTTAAATCATTTATTTTAGTTTCATTAGAGTCTGTCCTTTAATGAATTCGTCTACTAATTCTTTCTTCAGCATTCCAACTGCTCTTCTATAGATTGCTGGTGCATTTTGAGTGTTACCGCTATCAGTTTCAAATTTCATATAATTCATCCACGTATCAACATTGTCCTTTCCATGGTGCTGAACAGCACATTCAAAACATTTTCTAATCCATTTCAAGTTAGGTTTCTCCTGGGATTTTTCAATGTCAATCATAACCCTATGGACTTCTATTTGTAAAGGTGGTGTCCTTATCATCTCTTCATACAAACTCCTTGCAGCTTTTAGTCCATTATGCTCATAGGTTTTTTGGAGTAGCTTAGGCTTTATTGCTAATAATGTAGGGTTCTCACAGTTTTGAAATTTCTTATAGAAGTTACTAAGCTGAAACATATAAATGGGAACAACAAGATTAAAAACTGGTATTTGATAAGATAACAGTACGATAACACAAGTAAAGTAGTACAATATATAATGAATATATCCATAGCCAGCTTATATTATTACACAACTGGCCATATGGTTTTCCTAACATAAGGAAGACATATGCATGCTTGGGCTACTAGAAAGTTTATAATCTTTAGCCCATTAATGATGGCAGTCAGTTGCAAGAAATAAAATACATAGTAAAATTCATTTTTGCAGTATGTTAATTGGATTCACAAATATTTTGGACAAACAATCTGTATTGCCAATTGGCAACAAATATTTACAGAGATGGTAATTCTACTACATGTATGATTTGTTAAAGCATGAATGATTTATTTATTTTTAAGTAACTTGCAAAATAATATTAAAATTAAGAACTAATGTACAAAAATACATAAAAGTACTGACAGATATTGAGAAGTCATAAAAATATCAAATGTCTCGAAATGGTTACGTTATGAGCTGCCATGACTGATTGTGTTTGTACTGAAATTATCTTTTTGTCTTAATAACTTATTGCAGAAACGGAACTTTTTTCAGATTAGTTTTTTCAAAAGAACTAACGTTCCGAGCCCTTTACAGATCCTATGTATAATAGAGATTCCTATGTATAATAAGAGCGAAAACCTATAAGGCTATTACAATAGGACGCGACATGCGCGACAGCTACATAGAGCACGTGATATCTATCTATGAGAGAATAGTAGTATCTCGCGCTTTATGTCGCTCTCGCTCAAGTCGCGCCTTATCATGCTAGCCCTACTGGGAACTCGAAACTTACCACTGGTTTAGAGTTCGCACTATCTAATACAAGATTCCATAGATATAACGCGTCGTTAGGCTTCAATGCTTTGTTAGCTTCTTGCAGAACACCTAAAGTTTTCTTTTCATCGTCTTTATTGATTAGAATCTTCTCCTCCCAAATTCTCCTTGCTAGGGGATTCAGTTTTGCAGCTGTATCTAATATCTGGGACATAAAGTGAATTATTACAGTCACACATACAAAAAAATAGAATAAAATAACTTTTGTTTGACATTAACAATTTTTAAATTTCAATAAAAATTAACTATTATTTTAGGTGTTATGGGCCATTTCAATTATAATTTTAAGTCCTGCAGTTCACCAGCACATTTTAAAACTTCCAAAATAACAACATAAAATGGTTCAATTCTCATTAGAAAAATTCAAACTTTATATACCATCATGAATTCTTCATTTGACGTTTCATTCTCTAATTTCAACATTTCCAAACCAAAATCATACATGTCATTGGTAAGTAATCCATTTTCGTGTCCATACATCCATGCGTGTTTTACTACACTTATTTTCTGAATATCTGAGCACATATCTTCGTTTAATCCCAGAAGTTCGTGGATGAATTTTGTACATAAATTCTTGTCTGGAAACTGAAAATTAGATTAGACCAAAAAGATCCATAAATATAATAATAACGCACACACTCAACATAGCCTCGCACTAGGGAAACCCTGGGTCGCGGGTGTCATGAACACACACATAGACAACCACAAATTAGACCCAAACTCACGACAGAAATAAATGTTGGCCATACAAATATTTCTCCTGACCCGGGAATCGAACCTGGGACCTCTGCGTGGCAGGCATGGTAATTGTTCGGCCACGGAGGCAGTTGATAACAGACAAAGTATGTTTAAAGAAAACGAAAATTACTTAAGACTCGACGAAACGGAACACTACATCATGATTATTTTTCGATACCAACAATGAACACTATGCCAACTTTATTTTTGGTCATTTTCTGTATTTATTTCATTTTTTAAGTTCCCTAATTTTTTCAGAAAATTCGTGATTTTTTTGGTTTTCTCTCGAATTTTGTTTTTTGTTTCTATATTTTTTTTCACTAAATTCGGGGAGCTTAATATTAGCAAATAGATAAGGCTGTTTACATTAAACTAAACAGACATTTAAATTAAACAGAATATGACCAATAATTAAGTTCGCGTAGTTTTCATTGGTTGTACCGTTTTGTGTTTTTGGTATGACAAAAAAGTTAAAAAAGATAGCTCAGGTTTTTTTTAATAAAACCAAGTGACGGGACTAACAAGTCGCCCATCTGGTGGTAAGTGACACTCCTGTCCATAACAGTTGCAGTACCACTCAGTTCTTTAAATCACACAGATCTGAGGGGCACTGCCATTGCGCGTGTCTCCCTGAGACATACGTTGACAAGTCCCATGTGCCTGTAATATCACCACCCTTATTCTGCAGCCGTTACTTGAAAGGGCACTTGAAACAAAACTCAAAACCGAGAAAATTATGTTTAAAGAAATAAAATTAAAAAAATAGCTATTCTCTTGCGGTAACTCGTATTGGTATCAGCCTTTTTTTATCACAGCAGTACACATATCAAATTTTTTTTAAATGCGCCCTTTTACATAATGGCGGCAGTACTCATCATAACCGGAATGCAGTAACACTCACATTACTGGCTGGCGGCAGAAGTAGGTAAGGTGGCAGAACAAACTCTTTCACAAGGAACTCTACTACTGACAAAAGGTAAAACAAAGTAAACAAACCCGTTGCAATGCTTCTTCGTAAATGGCTATAAAATTGTTCACTTCTTTTTGAAACCTATTGTCATCATCAACAAACTCTTCTGTCTCTTGCCAATGATTTCCCTGTAACATGACAAAGGTATAAGCTTATTATTACAAGTTTCATGTAGTCATTCCTAGTTGAGCACTTCAATAGCAACTATAAAGGAAATTATGAAAAAATAGTAAATAAATATAGAGAAAAAGACCTTCAATTAAGTGAAACGAAAGAAAACACCAACGGAACATGATAATAATATCAAAGTAGATTTCATTAAATATCACTTTCTACTTAAATGATATGATACATATAAATAAATTTGAAATTAATCTAGTTAGATTTATAATATGAACCATAGAATACATAACTATGGTGGTATTCATATTTTAAACACTAACCTGAAGTTCGTTAGAAGCAACATAAACCCAAACTTCCTTCTTATCTCTTTTAGACCAAATTTCCTTCTTTATCACCTTGGTAATAGACTCAACATCATATTTCATGGAAAGATCGCATATTTTAAATAGGAACATAACATCTTCAATATTCTTTGCAGCATTTTTCCATACCACTTCTGCTCTTTTCAATTGCTTTTCCTAAAAAAAAATACAACAGTGTAGCTTATTATACATAAGTCAGTGTAAAATTATTAACAAATATAGTATACAGAATACCCATTCTAATATTACTCACAATAATTATTTTTTATTCTTAGGTGCTCTCAGAAATGCTACTTGGGACAACTTGACACCCAGGGGACTCAACGGACTAAAAATCATCATTATGAAAGAAGTTATAGAGTCCAGCACTATCTTACCTTCTGCTCTTGATCCTCTTCATTTGCAAAAGCCAGCTTCAGTTCAATTTCAAAAAAGTCTAAATACAAATTATCTGACTCAGGATGCCTGTGTATACCTTTCAAGAGAAAATTTCTAGCTGCATCTAGATTATTCTGCTCAACGCTCTCCCATTTGGCTGCCAATTGCCACATTTTTGGCTTGTCACCATGCATCTAAAGAAAAAATTATGCAAACATTTGGTAACCAAAGCAGCTGTTAGGTCGAAGACCTGGATAAATTGAGATACATCTAAAATTAACTTATATGGTTATAAAAACACTATAGTCCATTTGTACTTTTACAAACATATACCATTTGTATGTTTATTGAAACATGCTTTACAAATCAATAGGTATAAAAATAGGCATGCAATTTCATATAAAGTATAAGTATATAAAGTATAAGTATATAAAGTATAAGTATATAATAATAAGTATATAAGATATAAAAGTATAAGTATATAAGTATTTGAAGGTAAGTAAAAATCATTTTATAAATGTATATTTCATTAAATAGACATCTCAAGATTGTTTACATTTAGTTAAGTACCTAAACAAATGGACTATAGAAAATGGGATACTTTTAAAAGATACAATACAATAATGATTATAAAAATGGTTAAATAATAACACACATACTTAACATAGCCCCGCACTAGGGAAGCCCTGTTTCGCAGGTGCTATGGTCACAAACATAGACAATCACAAATTACACCCAAACTCACGAGAGACATAAATGTAAGCCATACAAATATTTCTCCCGGCCCGGAAATCGAACCTGGGACTTCTCAGTGGCAGCCCGGCTTGATAACTGTTCGGCCATAGAGGCAGTTAACTTGAATAACATTAAATAAAATAGTTATATGAGTCATAAACCTGAAGCATTTGTCCTATAATCCCAGAAATGGCAGAATCAAACCCAACTCCTCTGCAAAACTTGATATACTCAAAGTATACTTCAACTTCATTTTGAAACCGGTAAATAAATTGTTTGAACAACTGATTCAGCCTTTTTGCAATTGCATACTCTATATCTTTCTTTTTCTCTCCTAATTTGTTCTGTTTCCGTCTCAGAGAGATGTCTTCTAGTAGCACGAGCTCGTATTCTATGTACTGGATGTAATCTTCCTTTTGTTTGACCTTCCTTTGGACTTTGTATTCAAATTCTTTACGTTTGCGGGATATTTCTCTGTAATCATAAACATTAAATGTATTGTAAAACATTGGTAAACTAGATGATTTAAAGAATAGTACAAACTACATAGCAAAATATATAAAGGAACTATTATAATTTTTAAATAACGCAAACACCAATATAGAATATTCACTATTAAAAGGATTTATGTAACCTTCAACCTTTTTATTGCAACTGAAATAAATAATATCATGCAACTATGAAATCCAGTATTGTGTAATGTTGTAAATGACGCTTACTTTCTAGAGTAATGTGTGAAACACTGTCGCGTGATATCACACTTGTAATACTACTCGCATTCTATATTACGAAGATGAGGCTAGACATAAGTTGATAATTACGTTTAATTTTTAAGTTTTACAACAGAGTTGAATACTAAAGCATGGTATCAGCTTTACCTTACCAAGTACAACAAGTTACGGGACAGTTTTTAGACATACTTACTTTATTTCTTCATCATCATACAAATTAGTTCTTCGCATCTGCTCTAACTCGTTTATCATATTCTCAATACGTTGGTTCACTAGTTCTGCCATTTTTTGCGCTTAATCTTCTACTTTTCAGCACAAGAACAATTTTTAAATGGTATTTATTTACACGAAATGGAAATTAAACCATAAAATACACACGCTACAATCTTCTCACTTTTGAGGTTATGTTGTTATGTTGGAGTATATTCGTTTTATCGTTAATTTTTGTTGATAATTTTGTACTTGACAACCAACATAATATTATCTCAAAATTGCTTTCAGTTATTTTAATATTACCTATTTAATTTCAAAGCGATAGTGTTGTCCTGTCACTGTGAAATGAAACCTTATATAAACCTTATAAAAAATTTATATATACAAATATACGGAAATTTTGGAGATAAATTATTAATACAACGCAATTTTGAGATAAAATATAACTGCAATTTGTTTGATAATACTTTTTTTGGTAATTTATGGTAATATAATGGAAGGTCAAAGTGGTATCATCAGCATATGAGATTATATTACAGTTTTCAATTTTTAGTTTACATAGGTCGTTTATATAACAAAGGAACAAAGTAGGCCCCAAGACACTACCTTGTGGCACGCCGAACTCAATAGTCATCGGCACTCTCAAAACCACCTATTCTAACACGCTGAGTGCGATTTGAGAGATAGTCCCTAAAGAGTGCCAATTGTGGACCTCTGATACCCATTTTCTCAAGCTTGTCTATCAACCTAGGCAAAGAGACTGTATCAAATGCCTTCGCTAAATTTGGATTTTATTGTCAAGTTTATTAGCTAAGTAGTTGACGAAAGAATGTACATCATCATCAATAGACCTACCAGAGCGGAAGCCGTACTGAGACGGGGATGAAAGTTGTTTAGATACTAGAAATTTTACAAGCCCGCTATTGATTAACTTCTCCAAAATTTTTGAAACTGCTGGTAATATTGAAATAGGTCGATAGTTATGAACGCATGTTGTTTTTTACAGTCGTAAATACAGGTACCACAACAGACAGATAACATTTCCTTAAACTCGTTCCTAAAGCTGATTAGTTCATTTTTAAAGTAGGAATCGTCAAATTCCTGTGGTGTTCGTCACATGAACGTTTTTTTCGTGTACTTACATTGTCTAAACTCCTTAAGAAATGTTAGTAGTTATATTCGGCTTTGATACTAGCGGTTGATTCAGGTCTGAACTAGGTGTTTTTGGCGGAGTTCATGAAACTATAGGCATGATTTTTAACCTAAGTTGGCTGACAGATCCAGTAACCTTAGCACTATTACAATACAAAAGCAACAGTAAGCCATATTAAGCAATAGTAAAATGTATGCTGTTGCGAAACGGCTACAATGTAATTAAACTGCAATTCAAATATAAACGGACTTAGCTGACTGCAGTACGTAGGACCCGCGTAGTCTCTTGATTGCAGTCGTAGGATCCGCGTAAAACATAATAATTTCATGAAAACATTTTATTTTGTAATTATCCTTGATTATTTACATTACATTTAACAATATAAGTATTACTACAAAATTAATCTAGCAAACATTAAATAAGTACCACTCTTTATAAAGCATGCTATGAACTAAACTAAACCGTAATTTACCATGTAATTGCTAGGATTCAGAATACCAGATTCGCTGCCTGCATTCTGCTACAGTTATTAACATAACATAATCGATGGATAATTAGATTAGGTTATACTGATTGTGGTGGTACTTCTTATCTGGGAAGGCCTGTTTGATGGAGTATTAGATTATTAAATTTTAGGCTGTTATTGAGGTGAGTTTAATGTCAATTCATCAGTAACAATCACCTAGCAGTAAACTTAATGACACCGTTATCACAATGTTCAATCATTCCCCGCCCTTTGAAACAATTCAGCCAAGTTTTCGAGAAAGATTTGAAACTTTCTCGTTCCTCATCATTATTTGATACTGGAGAAACATTTATCTCCGGTATACATCTTCCAAAGTCTATAGCCGGCAGCCAAACGTGGAAATCAGAATCAGGCGAATATTTGAAGATATCTTGACAACCCTCTAAGTTAATTTGAGGTACGGGAGGCTGCCTTTGTAGAAGTTTTTTCAGTGTGATGAACGTCAGGAGATTGTTCTTCAGTGTTATTGTTTGAATGTGCTTGGCGCGACTTAGGCTTCTGTAACAAAAAGTTAAAGGGTTCTAACACAGAGACATGCACGACAGAGACGATTATTAATTCAAAAATTGAACATATAGAAAAACTTCTTCGACCCGATAAGATTTGAACCCAAGACCCGCTGTACCGTAGCGCTACCCTAACCAACTGAGCTATAAGTCAAGTTATCGATGTACCGTAATTCTCCTATGTGTTTTTGTTACAGATCTTTCTGTACATCTAGTGAGAGGTTTTAGAAACTTCTAACCCTTCTAACACTACTACTTTGCGAGTAACTTATAGCATCATACACAGCTATCACGTCACAGAGTTGCACATAAATGCGGTAGTCACACAAGTGACCATACAAACCAACGCTATACTAAAGTCGTAACGTCGAAAGTGTCTGTGACATTTTATATATAAAAGCCATCGACTAGCTAAGATTAGATTTATTGGAATTAATGAAGGTTATAACAGAAAAATAAAAAGTTTTAAAGCGCTTCTGATGTCACGTCACGTGATATAAATAAGGAACACCGTCTCACTTGACTAATTCTTTTTATGCCATAAGAGTAATTCTAGGACAACGTGTATGTGCGTGAGCAACTGTTGCACTTGTCTGTCTATGCTCCTAAGAACGTAAAACAAGTGTGTCAATAACGTACAGTACATTACCTTACAGTACAGTACATTATACACTACATGCTACAAGGATCTTCTAGATCATGTATCTGTTGTACTACTGAAATTGATTTTTTTATTATTATAGAATAAGTGCGCATTTGACCTCCATCTCACCTAATGGAAAGTGACGATGAGGCCGACGATGGAGCATGCACACCCAAGTAATGCCTATTCACTCTCGCTTTGAAAGGGCGAATGACTTTTGTAAATATATAATTTTTATTTTTATCTAACCACCTATTTCAATCCATATAGAACCTTGGGTTAGTCCAGATTTCTTTACAGATATTAAGATATATAGAGAAGAACCAACATTTTATTGAAAGGGTGAATAGAATCGATAATCACTATAAAGCAGTAGTAATTAGTAGTAGACAAAAAGTGACCAATTACGAGGATCCCCCTCTTGCGTCCAACAAATCATAAGAGTGGGATTTATCTAAAGAGATTTTGCATGACCAGTATGTCTTTTGTAAAGTTGTTGTATTATCACTTTTGTAAAGCATCACAAATAACAATTATACAAAACTACTAACTAACCTGAGCAACCTCATAAACTGGCCATCAACAAGTTTACAATTCGACAATCCGAATCTTCGTATCTTCAATTCCCGCGCCGAATCCATAAATGAAGCAATACATCCAACAACATTTCCTTCCACTCCCACATTGTCCAATTCCAAATCAGTTATCAAATTCGGATTTAAGGACGAAACAAAACAACTGATCATCACTTTTTGTACATCATTGTTGCTTAGGTCTACACTTTCCAAACTGTCAAAATGCATACTTTTCGTCGACTCGTTCATAGCATTTTCCGTTAGCCTGCAATAATTCAACTTCAGCACTTTTAATTTCACATACTGACATATTTTGACAACGCATCGAAATCCATCATCAGAAATAGGATTGCCGGTCAAATCCAATTCCTCCAACAACTGTAGTATAGGCCTTGTTGCTTTTTCAAAGGCGTTTAGTAAAACTTTAATTCCATCGCCTGTTATGTTGTTTCTGCTTAAGTCTAAATTAGTTACATGCCGCATTGTACAGATACATTCTGTGAGGTATTTGATTCCGTCATCTCCTATATTGTTGTCTGATATTAATATGGCGGTAATGTGAGTTTGGTGGGTTAATGCTCGGAAAAGTGGTCGTATTTGGGAGGGGGATAATGTTCTAGCGCCGAGTGCTAAACGATGAGTAGTGTGACTTCTTCCTACTGCTTGCTGAATTTCTTCGGAGGTTGCTAAAAGTAAATAGGAAAGAAATATGAACATAAAAATGAACAACAGAATTATAAAATAATAAACTTAGAACACAAAAAAAATACAGGCCTTAATAACGATGGGTATATTGTGTACAGACTGGGAGCAGGTTTGCAAATAATATTACTATAATAATTTCAATTCCCATTAAACACAACAGATTTAATCATGTTTCCATAATACGAAATATTTAAAGATTCGTCAGTAGAAGTCATATTCTAAAAGCCATTAGTTTATTTATATTTAAAAACGTTGACACGAAGAGATTTGATAATAAATTGAGAATAAATAAAGTTATGTACATACTGATAATATTCCCTTCATAATTAATATAATAAGGTCATAATAATGAGTAATTGTTTATCTCTCAATAATGGGAGATACCATGCCGACCCCACCTAGCGTGGGATAAGGACAAAAAGAAGAAGAAGAAGAAGAAGAAGAAGAATGGGAGACACCATATTTTAAAATGTTATTGTAGGGTAGAACAGTCTGATTCGAGTTTCATAATGTGAGTGGTTTATTCCTAATGAATTGTAACTAGCACAATAAACAATATAAGAAACAACAATGTTTAGGATAAAATCTATTTTTTTTTTTTTCAAATTATTTGAAACTCATTCAGGTTAACCTTTTGCTGGTAGATCTATATTGCCTTATCGGCAATTAAAAATTTAATAATCAGTTTATATTTGTGAAGTTACCTATGCCTAGGGCTTCACAGCACTCCAAATATCTCTCCTCAGCTGGCGACGCTTTCCAATTAGTAATACAAGTCTTTAACTCTGGCGATGAGAGTACAAGGCTTAGTGGATCTTCTTCAGATAATATCGCGCCGTCTGATGTCATCAGGCTGAACACTGGTTTGATGCCTGTTAGTCTGAAAAAATATTTGGTCCAATTAAAAGCTGCAGTATGTCATTTTTGTGTTTAATAATGTATAAATTTTTTGTATGCTATTTAACCGACTTCAAAAAAGAAGAAGAGGTTCTCAATTCGACTGCATTTTTTGTGTATGTTACGCGATAACTCCGACATTTGTGAACCGATTTTGATGATTCTCTTTTGTCGGAAAGAGGATACCTACGCATTGGTCCCACTTAAATTTAAAGAAAACATTCTACCTGTAAGGTAAACTCTACAAGCAAACTAGGGAATGAATCCTGTTTCGCGAACTTTCCGTTAACCGATTTCAAACTTGGCAAATATATGTAATTCCAATAAAAAAGCCGTTAAGCTAAAGAAGGATGGCGACATCCCGTGTATTTTGTGACCCAGTATTTGTGACGACGTGCATTAAAGAGACCTATCAATACTTGTAATTCATTATCAAAGCATCAAAAAATCTAATTGAGTATAGCCTGTAGAAGCTGGGGTTATAAATTTGATATAGGTTATGTTCATAACATTATCCTGTATTTCGCTTCAGATGTTTGTTCGTAGTATTAGAAAACGACAAATTTTCAGTTTGTTTCTAAAAATAATAAAGAACTTGCTGAACATTCCTAAATCTGCCAAATTCTGCCACGTTTAATACAACTTTACATTTACAACATGTTCTGTAGCAATGAAAATTAATAAAAATTAAATCTAATAATAAACCTGCCAAAAACGGTCACATTGTTTTCAATCTCAAAGTGACACTGGCATTGGCAAAAGGACTCATTTCAAAACGTTCCTTTGCTAACTTTCGTATCTCTAATTTAAATATTTTCTAAACATTTTTGTCACATTGTCTTTTATGTCATTATTGTTTAATTGATTATTTGATTAGGTATTTTATAGCATTAATGTTTTATGTGGGTACTATAAAATAACCAATACTTTAGGTAGGTAAACATTCAAAGAACGTTACCTAATCTATGGTCGAACTAAATCAATTGCGTTGTTTTCTTGCATCTACTCTAACATACATTGTTTTGCAATTTCTTTATTCCCGACTTCTAAAAATATACAAAAATATATTAATAACTCGGCATAAACTAAAATGTAAAATTATACTAGCAAAGTCCATGAACGGCACTTCGTTGATTTTGGGTCAGCTTTTGCCATCCTTCTTTTGAGGTCGTTTTTTTTTTTTAATAAAAAAGTTATAATTATTTTGTTACATTATGTTGAATTGTAAACGTTAAAATGACCTAAAGTTATTACAGACAAATGAAATTTTGAATAAATCAGTGCACATTTGAAGACTATTAAGCAGTACTAAATCTATTAACATTGCTTTCAAACCCAATTATTATTATTTATTTTTTTATAACATCAAGTGACTGGACGAACAAGTGCAGTAAGCTACACGCCTGTCCATAAGTTGCAGTGCCACCCAGAGCTTTAAATCGCAAAGATCTGAGGGGCACTGCCTCTGCGTCCGTCACCCTGAGACATAAGTTGACAAGTCATGACATATAATAAGTACTGCACCAACTATGACTTTGATCTGTCTGCAACAAGCACTGCGGCCATCAGACAAACTGTAGGTTTGAATTACTTTGGACAGCAATAATTATAGTTATGCTCAAACTTCTTTTATATTTTATACAATAGATGTAAGTAAGATCAGCATTACTTATTGGTTTGTACTTTTGATATCCAAATGTGGAGGTTTGTAATAGGCTTTTTTATATATTGTTTAGTTTTATACAACTTCTTTGAGTTATAGCTGTAATCCTTCCTAAAATAAATAAATAAAATAATAAATAAATCCCATGTGCCTGTAATTTCATAAGCACCCCCTTCTTTTATATTTTTATTACAATCTGCTGAAACTACATATAATTAATGAAAAAGAAGAAAAAACAATATCAACGTACTTGAAATACCGTGATTTTACTTCCTCAACTAACCAGCTGATTGTCAACTTATTTATCGCGTCCAACTTTAAAGATATCAACAATACTTTATCCTCCACTTGCACCTTCACAGCCGCTGGTGGCAAAATCTGTGTTTGCACTGGACGACCGTTTTTAGACTGCACTATATTTATAGGCTGTATAACATTAACTGGTTGCATTATATTAGGATTCAAACTTTGCACTACGTTAAAACCATCGTTGGTGTTGAAAAAGTTCTCATTTGAATTATTTCTTGTGAATGAAACTGGATTCATGAGATTATCCCCGGAGTTTTTTCTCGATAGAGATCCTGTGTTAGTCCATCTTTTATCTTTTCTCGTTGTGAATTCATTATCACTACCACTGTTACTAGATTGATCAATCTCGTCTCGTTTCCTTTGAAATCCAGCTTTGAGTAATGTACTTTGTTGTTTCCATCTTTTCCTCATAGTCATTCTAGTGTCCTTAAGTTTCGATTCATTAAGTTCCTTTGCTATGTGCCGCATAGATTCAGAAGCAGTTACTTTCGGACATACATTTTCGTTTCTTTGAAAGATGTCAGAATCTGAACTATTGTCACTCAAGTTCACAATATCACTGATTCTTGATTTCTTTCGTTCATTTGTTTTATTATTTTCAACAAGTGGCGTGATTTTGTTAATACTATCAATACTATCTCTTATAATTTCGATGGAAGGTTTCTTAGCAACAATTGTCAATGGATCACTAAGTTTTCTCTTTTTGTTTTGTTTATTAATCCCCAAATCATCATCTAGCCAGTCATCGTCAACTTCATCAGGATCAAGTAACGCTGGTTTTGGTTTTTTCCTTACGTCAACTTCGGGAAGATCATCCATATTTCTATTACGTAACGCTGATATGGCTTCTTTATATGCTTTGACCCCTAAAGTATTACTAGCTGGTGGACTATCTTCAGAAAAATTTGAATCGTCAGAAGGAAAAGCCGGCAAATTCCTCACATTCTGCGATAGATCCAGGTCATCATCACTATCGTCAATTATATTACGCCTTTTAGCTGGAGAGGTTAATTCCTTAATTCTGTTACTCATTTTAGATGTACTTGGTGGTGTTATATCTTTCTTAGGTTTTATTGGGGTTTTAGATTTTGATCTATTGAATACATCTACTGTATTACTCTTGTCGATAAAACTATGTATCTTGTTGCATATATTATTGTATAATGTTTCCTCGTCTTTATTAAGAATGGTCTGTGTTCGCCATTTTTGTAATACATCCAATGGTGTCTCGCCGAAATCGGTTTTTAAAGATGGGATTGCACCTTTGTCTATTAGCAGTTGTACCACCTCTAAATGACCGTTGCTTGCCGCGTCATATAATGGTGTTATACCTAAACAAATAATGAATAAATAAGCTGTATTATGAAAGAAACATTGTGCTCAGACACTTTTTAAATAACATCAAGAACACCTCTTACCAAAAAAGGTGCTCAATTCTGAATCCTGAGTCATTCAACTAAGATATCACATTATTCGCTTTAACTGTAAAATGAACAATATGATGTAAATTTTAAATTTTGAACTGAAACAATAGACAGCTTTAAAAGACTAACCATCACAATTAACGCCACCCCGATCATTGATGTTAGCACCATGATTAATAAGCACATTAGCGATCTCCAACCGTCCATGGATACACGCCTCATGCAGAGGCAACCAGCCAGCGTTGTCTCGCACGTTTACCGGGTGACCTTTCGCTAGGAGACGTTCTACTAGGAGTTTGTTACCGGATATGCACGCCTGGAATCATGATTACAACTCACATATTATTTGTACTTACAAATCTTAAGTCCTGCAACACAAAATGTAATGAAACCCGATAAAAAAATTTAAACATTTTGTTCTATAATATGGACACTGTCATTTGAAATCATTTGTCTAATTAGTATATAATAAAAATGCTATAATTCCACGCAATACTTAGGCTGGATTTACATTGCTCCGGAACGGTATGGAATCGAATTTTTATAGCAAAATGAACTGTGAAAATTGTGATAATACACAATTGACACAATTCAAACTAAATGCAAGCCAAAAAGCAGGTCACGAGTCTTCCGAAGAATTCGACTTTCTCGGGAATTCCCGCAGCAACCGTATCGTATCCAGTTTGTACGGTACATACACAGACATAAACTTCATTAAGCTATGTACAATTTCGTTAGAAAACTTCGCTTCTATTCCGTGCCGTAAAACAATTATAATGTAAGGAGTTTTTGTTGGTTTTTTAGTAGTGGTAGGGCAAATGCCGCTGTGGCCGTAGCCCGGCAGTATATCACATGCAATGTGTGATAAACCTCCCCGTGAAATATTCATTTCAGTTGATAAAGCTACATATGTTGCCATTTATTTTATTGCGTATACTGAATTGGTAAGATACCGCACTGGAGTCATTCATTCCTTTGTTTATTTAGTAATGAACTATTGCTATATATTTTGAAGAACAAGGATAACGATATGAAATTGCGTATATAACTATGTTTGTCCTTTAATCGTCGCCGCGAAAACGACAAAACAAAAAATTTTGGTAGTTTCAGTTTTTACATATTTTACAATAGATTAATTATTATTTACGTATTTCTAGTTACTGTCATGCAATAAACTATGTTAAAAATGTTCTCCTCACCTTTTTCCAATAATTTACACATATCAATTTGTTGGTTTTTATTATTTTTTTTTTATCTCGTTTGTCTCGCTCAATTTTACGTTGATAAAATTACTGTGCAGTACTGTCAAAATGTTTTAAATCAGCTGTGACGCTGCGGTGTTTGGCACTGTGATAAGCTTTTACAGCTATTGGTCGAGGCGCTCGCCATGCGACAAAAATGTGCCGTCACGGTTGTCGCCACGTTAGATATTGTGATATAATTTTAAGATTATGGCGGTTTTATCACTCGAATTTGACAACTAAATGTGGATATAATAACTTTATCGCGGCTGCATGCTACGTAGGCTCGTATATACTTCCTATTATTAAAGTATACAATGCTGTATACCAACATAATCTTTATGTATTTCCATACTGCACGTCCACATTGAATAGATTTTATAACAAAATTCAGTATGGTATGGATGTAGCAGAGACTTAAAAAATTATTATTAAATTATCTTACTTTATCCTTAATTAATAAAAGAAATCGACGTGAGCTTTCCGTGAGTTGCGATTTTATTTTTCAGTTAGAAATTCCTTGATATATACTTATATAACATAACATATTTTTAGATAAGAAATTACTTTATTTTTAATAAATATGTCAATGTTACTTTCTTTTTTAATCGATAAATAAAGTCTTATAAGAACTTACGACATGTAACTGGGTTTCGCCTTTCATATTTTTTTTTATAGCGAAGCCTTTACCTCTCCTCCTGACTTCCCGTTTAGTCTCCGGAACGTCCTCGTCGTTAGTATCTGATATATCTGTAAATACCGATTATCGAATAAATGTTAAGTCCAATGTTATACGGAAACAGGCGAATGTATTAATTATTGAGAAACTCAGTGGTTTGGTAAAAAGCCCAATTTAAATACTAACCCCATACCTATACATTTAAACAAACTTTTATTTAACAAGTTAGATGCGGTTACGCTGTTCTTACAAGTACAAAATGTCACCTTAAGCGAATATTTATCTATCCTATATCTAAGTTATTAAGGTAAACTTTTAATTGAAGCTGCGAACTCATTAAGGGGAAAATTAAAATGCCAAAGAACTCATTACGATGAAAGGTTAATGCAATTTTTATGCTTTCGTAATGCTCAGGCCACACAGGCGGCTACGGGACTTTTTGAAATACTGACGCGTGACCACCGCGCGTTTCAGTGTGGCAAGGTTCATATGAACTCGTATGTTACAAAAATTCCCGCGCCCGGAACGCATCCGCGACCGCCTGTGTGTGGTCAGAGCATAGAAGTCGCATGGCTCCGAAGCTTTGTCTTCAGAAAATAAGAATGATTATAAATAAATTGCGGTAAAGAAATCATTACACGATTCTAGGCAGACGCTTTTTTCGATCGATTCGACGATCTAAACAGAGATATAAAAAAATTTACAATTAAAGGCTATTAATAAACGTTCTCTGAACGTTTTATAAAAGAAACTCAATGGACGATTTTTGCAAACAAAATTAAACGTACATTATTCACTCGCCAGCCTTTTTAGTAAATTTTTTGATTTGCGTTTACGAGGGAGCACACCACCGCTTCAGCCTCTCTAAGTCATTGAATGCATACATTCGTTTTAGTCTCCTGATCTTGCCACCATCAACCGCTTTAGCTTAGGCTTTAGCGAGAGAATTGGGATGACTATTTAGCCGATCCCAATCTTGATGTCTATATAGATCAGGTCAGAATCGTTAGTCTCCAATTGTAATTAATCACAAATAAGGCCAACTAATTATATAGGTAATGTAAGATACCTGCATACCTGTCAGATCTTCCAAGCATATATCATCTCCAATATGCGTGGTATCCTCATCCCCTCCACCCGCGGAGCTTTGTTCGTCCTCAGAATTGTCTAAATTGTCAAAATCGTCATAACCTAAAGCTCTAAGTTCAGACTTTGTGTCTTCAAGTTTTTCAGTCTCACCATATTCTTCTTGGTACTTAAGAAGGTTCTTTAGTATTCTTATTTCATATTTCTTTTTATTCCAATCTTGAGCCTGGAATTTCGTAAAGTGTATAATTTGTACAATTTATTAATATAAAGACCGATCTTTAAGAAAAATTTCTTTGATTCGGCTGGATTCGAACAAGCGCATTCAGCATTCCGTGGCTGATGCTCTCCCATCTGAACTACGGAACGAACCAGCAGACATTACAAATACTCGAAACCTCGTTTAAAAAATAAATTAAAACTACCGCTTCTCTACTACTCTTCTCTATCAACTAGAGAATTCCAAGTATGATGAGCTTTGAGGAAATAAATTAACTCCATGGGAACTATCAAAAAACATTTGGACTTGAACCAATAAACAAATATTCATTAATTAGTCTTATTATTCGACTTTGTTAACATAGGGTTGCATTCAGGAAAAGCGGCGATGCTTTAGTGCGAACACACAAAAAGTTTAAAGCACGTTTTAAGCTACGTTAAAATATAATTTAATTAATATTTTAACAAAAATAAACTCACCGCTTTTCTGGCATCCAAACAAGCCCTTTCAACTTGAAAATATGGTTTCTTAGCTAAGAATAAAACTTCAGCGATATTGTACAATGTAGTGTACGCTTCTTTAGGAATGTCTTTTATGAATTCGTATTCTTTCTCGTAATATTGCAGAGCTTCGTAGTAGCTCCCCATGTCTTTGTAAGTTTGGTATAAACTGTAAAAAGGAAATAAATATGATTGTATATTACTACTGTTGGAGGTTGCATAGTATGTCAAATTTTGAAAAGAATAAACAGTTACACTGTAGTAAAACAATAAAAATAATATTGCCAGATAACTACATGAGCTACCTGATCTCAAATTAAGAAATTTCTTGTAGTACTATGAGTACTAGAGCAACAAAATGAACTCTGAAACGCTAAAATTATAATTTACCCAACAACCACATCAACAACTTGGTCTCAAACTTGGGACTTCCGTTGTACTATGACAACCAGAGCAACGAAATTCAATGCACATGGACACCCAGAACACCCAGACAAAAAAATTCGTTTCTTGAAATTGATCACACCGTCCCAGTATTGAACCCAGAACCCATTTATTCATTTAGTTCCTACAGTGTAAACTGTTGAGCCACAGAGGTTGTAAAAAAAAACCTGATGGTTTAGTACGCTTTTTCGAAATGACGCATTAAATTGGTTTTATCATTAATGTACCAAATTTGAGTGCTTACCTAACGTAAATAGGTATAAGCGTTTTCCCAAAATCTCCAGCGAGTTCAGCGTGTTCCAGCATCTTCAAGTAATACTCCACGGCTCCTGGATAGTTCTTTAAATGGCATGCACCATCGCCGAGTTTCTCGTACAGTTTCTTAAAAGTTGTATGGTCTGATGGATCGGTGGAGATTAGTAGGTCCTCAGTGTAGCAAATTGCTGCAACTAAAAAAGCATAATTTATTTCACAAGCTGATTGCGATTGAATAATTTCTTTGAGCGATGATAATGCAGGGATAGCGCGATAAGGCGCGAGAGCGACAAAAAGCAGGTCGCAGTATCTCGCGCTTTACGTCGCTCTCGCGCAAGTCGCGCCTCGTCGTGCCAGCCCTATTGGTGTACTTTGTATATATAGGCCTCTTACAGTGACTGTACTGTCTTTACCTGTACTCCTCGTAACTGAAAAAGTTCTTTTGATGAATCGACATACCAACTCTAAGATTGTTTTCAATAATTTCCCTTTCATCTTCATCAGGAGTTTTCAACTTCCACGCCTTAAGGAGCACTTGCTTCGCGCTCTGGTAGTCCGACATCTTGCAGAGAATGTCCGCTTTTGACGATAGCGTCTCACACGATTTTAGTATCTACAAGAAAAGCGAAAAAGTTCTAGGATATGGATAACAATATCTTTCTATGCAATAACATACAGGTCTACATGGCAAATACGATAATAAAAATACTTTTTCCCAAGTGAGAGAAAGCCCAATGGTCGGTTCTTGGACCAGTTTTATTTACAATTTTAAAGGCAGCCTTAACTGTTGTCACATATGTTGATGAATAACACAGCGATTCTAGAGTTTAAACTCTAAAGTACTCAGTAAAAGTTACTAAAAAAAAGTCGACACAATGAATGAATGTTTTCAAAGTGAAGAATTAAACCCAGAACCTTGAAATAGATACAGGCCACTTTTGCTGAAATTCTCCAATAGTGAAGCTTGGAAACAATATTTTAGTTTCTGTTGCATTTTGGAACCAATGCTTCTATAAGCCAAGACATAATAATCAGTTAAATAACATTTTAATAAAGTACGATAGCTATCATTTATATTAAGGAGTGAGAGTTCAGACTTGAAGCCACCCTCCTGGCCCATATTTGATTTCCGCAATTCAACGTCATAGCATCTTCTTAACATATCCTCAAAGAGTTATAAGTAAAGTGTAATGTAAAATATTACCTTATCCTCCAACCGACTAGCAACCTCCAAAGCCTTATTCAAGCAGCTTAAAGCTTTTGCATAATCCTTCTTCTTATTGCTATACAACAAGGCCTCTGTAGTATAACAATTATGCAAAACTTCATACAAATCTTGATTAGAACATATTGTTATGGCTTTATGAATGCAATCAAGAGCTTTGTCAAAGTTGCCTAGGTGTTCTTGTACAACACCAATATTTAGAAGTAATCTAGCTCTCATATCCATAAGCTCATGTTTCTTTATTTTGCCATTCAGACTGAAATTAAAAAGATTATAATAGGCTATAGTTTATTGCAAGTTAATTAAAGAAAAATCAGTACAATTTCCATATAAAAAACAGCAATGTCAATGAGGCAAAGTTGAATCACGGGATGTTGTCAGTGTGTAGAGCATAGTTTCCCAAAGTGGTCCCTAATGCCCACCAGCGGGCGTTGCAGAGCCCTAGGAGGGATTGGGGCCTCAGAAATAATTGGAGCCCTTGCTAGCCATCCCATCAATGCATTGATGCTGGGGAGGCTACCGCATTTGTAAAAACTACTTGAACTTGATTTTTTGTGTTATTAAGTTAATATTATAAAAAATAAGTAAAAAAATAATTTGTGTAGTTTAAGTATTCCTTTAAATTCATAATTTGTTATTTACTGGATGTTAACATTTTAAGAACTAACTTTGTATACATATCTGTGGACTACTGTCTGAACTCCCCTTGTTAACCTAAATTACGTGTAATCAATGACTTTAGTCTGTAATGTATGCTTAATAAACAAATAAATAAATAAATAAATAAATAAATGTTATTGTTTGTGGTGGTGAGCATTGAATTTGTTTTTATCTTGCCTAGGTGGGCGAACCAAAAGGTTTGGGAACCTATGGTGTAGAGCTTGGTAATCACAAAGTAAGACAATTACCCTGTGTCATTAGTAGTCAAATAGTAAAAAAAAGGAGTAGAAACATAAATAATTTTTACTAATTTGTCTACTTGGCATGTTCAATCTACATATACAATACATTAAACTACATAATACATTAAATTATACCTATAGGAACAAACATGTAGACCATTTTGTAGTGCAATTTTGTGCTGCAAACAGCATTACAGCCCCTAAACTTAGAAGTGTTTAACAACTAACTCAGAAAATGGCTAAAAACATTATAGTATGAACATTTACAATAAAACTAATAGGTGGCAGAGAAGGCTGTATTGTCTTTAACTAAATGTCTATTGATCTTAAACTAATATTTACACTAATTAAAAAGACATTAATAACTTTCTGTACCTTTCACACAGGACAAGGCTCTTCATAAATGCCTTTTCGGCAGCTTTTAGTGACATCTCTGCCTCCTTCTCATCTGTAGAGCTCTGGCCTTGCAGTAGATATATCCTGCCAAGAGTTGCCATTGCTCGCTGCTCTTCCACTTGGTTGTTTAGCTCTTTTGCTACAGCTAGTAATTGGATAACACTATAATACATTATCTGACAAATACACACATAATTCAAGACTTTTTTTAACATTGAAATGCTGACAAATTGTTTGTCAAATCTATACCTCCAATGAATACTATGCCAACATAATTTTTTTATCATTTTCTGTTTTTAATGTAAACAGCCTTATTTATTTACTAATATTATGCTCCTCGAATTTTGTAACAAAAAAGAAACAAACAAAACAAAATTGGAAAAAAAAAGAATATTGTGAAAAGAAAATTCAGAACCAAAACCAAAATAAAATCAGAATATGACCACAATTTATGTTGTGTAGTGTTCATTAGTGGTATTGAAATATGGAAAATGTAATATAAACTTGTTCAAAAATCAAGTTTTTTTTTAAACACGGAGAAATATTTGTATGCCTGCAATTATTTCTCTCAAGAGTTTGGGTATAATTTATGGTTGTCTATGGGCGAATCCATAGCACCCGCAATATAGGGTTTCCCTAGTGCGGGGCTATGAGTGTAAGAATCTTGGTGTGAAAAAATTCAACAGTAAATTAAAAGTTTAACTCAAGATTCTGAATTAAAAAAAAATTGTGTTATTCTTCGAAATTTGTGTAAATCCAAACAAATTGAATACTGTATCAACACACATAAATTCCACCCCATAGCCAAAGAGTGCACTAATTTGAAGCAACCAATCAGACTCACAATGGATGTGATAACAACCCAGAGAACTCCCTGTACCAGAACCAATCTCAGTAGGCGTACCCATTGCATCGTCAAAAGAATTTTTTTTAATAATAATAACGCACACATCTCAACATAGCCCCGCACTAGGGAAACCCTGTGTCGCGGGTGCCATAGACACACACATAGACAACCACAAATTACACCCAAACTCACGAGAGAAATAAATGTAGGTCATACAAATATTTCTCCCGGTCCGGGAATCGAACCTGGGACCTCTGCGTGGCAGTCCGGCGTGGTAACCGTTCGACCACGGAGTCAGTCAATTGATTGACATTAGATAGCTTAGTGTAAATAGACTTCTCAATAACCTAACCAATAAATTTCATTTAAATAAGCTGTAAGTCAAGAAATTACCTAAATGTCGCTCCTCATACTTCAGAGCCTTATCAAACTCGGCTAATAACATGTACATCTCGCCGACCATTCTGTTACAAGTGCCCCATTCCATTCGAAGACCGAGATCTTTGCATATCGAAGCCTCAGCTTTATATTGCTCCAAAGCATCGCTATATCGGTTGTGCTTGTAGTAGTAGGTAGCCAAATCATTATAAGCTTCTGCTAAGACTCGTCTATTGCTCCCGTTTAAGGCCTTCTTCTTTCTTCGAAGGAGTTCTGAAGGATTTTGTATAGACATATCAATTCAGAACATGAAAAAACATTTTAAAAATTATAATGGAACTGTGTGATACTAACTTTCTTCTTCCATGTTTGAATCAATTCTCAATTATTATTTAGGATGATACACAAAGGATACACGTTTAATATCATGATATTGTCGTACTTTTCTCAACAAAAAAGCGCCAGTAGAAAGCCGAGCCGCCTTGAATGACATTGACACATTGACACTGGAAATTTTATGTTGCCATTTAATATTTGTAAATTCTGAAAAGCTTAATTAAGTCATAATTAATTTAACATAAATTAAAAAAAAATATTTTTGAGTTACATTTTAATCAGTTGCAGTATTCCTTCTTTTCTTATTTTCTTTGTGATTGTTTCTCCAGTAGTTCACATTAAGCTGCCTATATGTGCCTACAAACAATTAAATTATCACACGTTCAAACCATGTAATAAATTATTTATTTTCTTGATAATCGAATTATACTTTTTATATTTTTTTAAATAAAACTTCTGGTTCTAACAAGAAATTCAAATATACTTGAAAAGGTGACGAACGTTTTTGTAAAAAAATTATTTGTCAACATTATCTTTTTAATTCCGATTTATTTGTAATAACTCCATCGATTATGGCGAACCAACGACACCAACATCCAGTTGAGTATAAAACTCAAAAAATTATCAAATTAGACGAATTACAATTTTATTACCTTATTTGCGTTCGGAAATCTTAAAGATCGAATCGATCGACCATTCAAGTCGTTCAAGAAAGTCAAACTTCCATGTAAATACTGGTTGCAAAAGTTTAAGAAAATCTTTTTGTAACGCCACTAAAGAAGAAATTAATGTTCATTATTTTAATTACATTTAGGGCTTTTTTGTTTTCTCGTTACATTTCAGCCATACTCCAATGGAACAATCAATTTAGAACTTTTTGCAAAATAGTATTGCCCTACCACCTCTTTATAACCTTTTCTCTGCAATGCGACGCCAGATGGCGTGGCTTCATTTGTATACAGCTGACGACTAAACAAGGGGTTTCCTGTTTTGATTTGAGTTAAATTGATGTTTTATTCGGGTTAATACAGCTAAATCAAGTATTCACCTGATAACTAGGTTTATAAATTAATATATAGTGTTACTTGCAAGTTAAGAAAAAAATTGGGACTATACCTTTGCTGAATTTACCGTGATAAAAGTGCAGCACAAGAAGAAATTTAGGGCTTGTGCGGTAAGTCTGTTTATTTTGAGTTTTGTGAATGAATTGCGCGTATTTTTCATCATATTGTACGACGATAGCATTTGATTAGATCTTATCATTTGTAATTGACCAAAATTTTTCGGAATTTGTTGTTTATAATCCTACCGACCTATATGACCGTTTTTTTTTCTTGAAATCATTTGTATCGTAAAGTTTTATTTATTTGGATCCTATTGCCCCATTTAGGGCGCTTATTTTTCTCTATTATTAAGGAATATTTAATATTGATGAGAAATTGAAACAGGTACCTACTCAAAACACAGAATGGATTTCGAAATATCTTAAGATATGACTTTATAGTTAAATGTTTCACTTACAATTTGGCTCAGCAGCTTAACCAGGAACAAATATTGTTGGCATTGTGAGCGCTAGACTAAGAGATCCCAGGTTCGATTCCCTGTAGAACCAATTTGAGTAAGGAAGTTTCTAAATTGGTTCTTGGAGAGGATGTTCCGGGTAGTCTAGGTAGGATCTGATCAGCCAATGATTTTTACTAGGAATATAGACACTTCAACAAAGTTTAATAAAATTAAACATATTTTGAAACCTTTCGATAATAAAAAAATAAAACAAATCACAAATAATTGTTCTGGAATATGTTATATAGAGTAGAATAGAAACGATTTATTACAAAGCCACAACACAAAAATACACATACAGAGAATAAAAAAAGACAAAAAATTAAATTAAATAACAAAAAACTAACTACGAATCAAAACATATCAAATTTTAAATAGGTAATTCACAATTTTTCACAATTAATAAATGTCATATGTCTGACTGTGGTGTATGGAATGATAAAAGGATCCACATATCTAATGCCACAACGAATAACGACTGCGATGCTAATTTGCAGTGGACCCTATTTAGTTTTTAACAAACATTTTAAAAAATGAGAAAGAAATCAAATTTATTGAAAAAAACTAAAATTAGATAAAACTTTTGGCAATCGTGCAATATTGAAATTCAAACTAAACAAAACAAGTGAAAAGAAAATAAATTAAATGAAAAATAAAAATCTATTGTATGTTCTAAAGTGATGTCAACCTTGCTCCATAGCTTGTTTAAAATCCAAAGTGTTAAACTGTGTTTTCTTTAACTGCACATTTCCTTTATTTAAAATATACAGTCAGTGTTATCTCCATTATCTATCTGTACATTGCTATGCTGCCGGCGACGGCCTGGCGCCTTGGGCGCCTCGTGACCTTCCACCTAATGCCGATCGTGGACAAGGGGGGGCCTACACCCCCTGTATGAATTAGGATTCCTTATCTACTACTGTGAGGGGTTACTCCATATATTACATCATATTTCTAAAGGGGGTTATGAAGTTGGTATAAAACAAAAGTGTATTTCTAAAATTTAAAGTTCAAAAATTTAAAGTGTCTTTATTTTTAAATTGCCAAATAGTTTAAACTTATTAGGTACTTATTCGTGATTTCTGCATATCGTCGCTGGAAAGCGATAATGCTGTAACCCACAATGCCTGCAATACTTAGAGACTACGCATGCAGCAGTGAGAGTACTCGTGTGTGTTGTCCGAAGTTTTTTATAGCAAAATTGAAAGTATTTTTTCAATTATTATTGAAAATATTATTTCTTTTCCTTATTTCATTTTATTACTTATTATATTTAATCTCATTTATTTATTCAGATCATAAGAGTCAGAAATTAATGAAATACGTAGGACACGTAATTACGATGCATTTAAATTATAATGAAATTTGCTCAAATCACCATGATTAAAGTGATTTTATTCGACTAAGAAATCCTACAAAGTTCAAAGTTATTGTGATATGAAGGTGTGTTAATATGTTTAGGTGATTATTATTCACTAAGTCACTAAAACGGATTTAGATACAATATTGCAAACAAGCCATTTTCTGGATACATCCATAATTACATCTCTCGCCGCTCTCCCATCGGGGCAGGCAGAGAAATGTTTATACCTGTAGTGCGTTTCCGTCTCTTTATGAAGTTTTTTCTCACTTCACATAACAGTCACCATGATCATTTATTCAGCAAACTCATGTATCACAAGATTTTATTTCTTTCATCATCTTATTTCACATATTATGTCATAATAGTTACTATCAATAGTCTAAATGACTGTAGGTATGTTAAGACATGCATACTACAAAGTTTAATTAGTAATAAAATAGATACTCGTATAAAATATATTCTACACATGCTAACAAATATAAAAACACAAATAATGTCACAAAAAAGAAGAAAATGCCTAGGTGAGCTAAAAGAGAACAAAGAAATAATTATCTGTCGACGAACGCGATGTTACTAGATCAAAACAATCTAAGACTGAAATTTTAAATTACAAATTGGTAGCAATTTGTTATTTAGGCCATCAGACGGTTCTAATAAATTGTAATCTAATCTAATGTGCAACAATCTTCCACCGAGAATAATTTAACCAGATTCAACAAACTGCACTAAGATGCTCCGTGACATGTCACCAAAAGGTATGCAACACGCCAAACTCAAAACTAGTCTACAAAAATTTATGATTTGACGCCCACGTTTAAAAACCCTCAGAAATCATGGGGATTTAACAAACCATGCTGTTTGTGTTACATACTTTCTATACTTTATTAATGGCCCTCAATAAGTTACTGCATACATATGGTTTTGCAAACGCAAAGTACACCTACATAACGTTTATTGCACTAAATTAAATACGATTGGGAAAGTCGGCACATACGCGAGATTGTGTCTACATCTGGTATCTAATCTATGAGCTCTCACCACTCTCTCTGCGTCAATATATTCTTCAACGAATCAACAATGAAAAATACACAAACCACGATATATACTCGTACATTCGTATATTTTTAATGACCGTCTTTACGATTTTGTGTTCAACAAAACTTCACATTTGTGAATGAGTAGGCGTCATTTTCTAAGTAATATGTTATCGATGTTATCTTACAAATTAATAGCATTCTGAATGTATTCCTTTTAAATGCGACTAATTTACGCTCTATACACATAAACTGTGCGTTAAATGTGTACAGGCACTTACGAGTATTCGTTACCCCTAACCTCTTTAGGTACATTCACAGAATTAGATAGATAAGTGATATCTCGAAGTTTATGTGTTAAACGCTTTAGTTTTCTAATTATAGTGACTGAATTGAACAGGACATTAGAATATTAATATATATTTTTCGCTTACACGATTTTTTACCTTTTTGGATGAACCAGATATTTCAACATTGTTGCAATTATTTTATTAAGTATATGGGATTTGTACAGTCAAGAGAAAATTAGGCTTGAGACTTAGGACCGTTCTCATCATAAGCTGCATAGAGGTGAAATTAAAGCGTGTCTAGCTTGACAAGCTCTTGATCCTGTACCTGCCTTACCTACGCAAACTTTATATTTTGTATGGTCCTGTAATGTAATGAACGTCTGCCGGGGGTCCATGACGAGCCTACCTAACATAATGCCTTAATATAAATATTGGTATACAATATACAGTGCACGTGACCTTTTTGAATTTTCACGCCCTTTGCTATAGAGCGAGCGACACGCGCATCAATGCAACCCGCGAGCCTTTCTTATTTTGTTTATTATTAAAAATTTTATAAAAAGAATATTTATTAATCTCAACAAAAACATGCGTAGGTTTATCCGTGCACCGCAGGAAGTTCTTCATCTTTTCGGAAAGGGTCCGTAGGCGCTTTGAAATTTTGAGAGGGGTCTATGACTAAAAAAAGTTAAGAAACTCTCTCTAGATAACTGCCTCGACGGTTATCATGTCGGACTGCTACGCAGAGGTCCCACGTTCGATTCCCGGGCCGGGATAAATATTTGTATGGCCTATATTTTATTTCTCTCATGAGTTTGGGTGTAATTTGTGGTTGTCTATGTGCGAGTCCATGGCACCCGCAATACAGGGTTTCCCTTATACGGGGCTATATTG